TTCATGCAAGTTCTTACTGGCCAGTCATGGGTCACTGAAGTTGAGGTCCGCTGTGGGTTGGTTCACACAGGGTGACAAAGGGGCTTTAAAAACACCGAATTGAGGGAGAAGTATGTACCTGCTCATTTAGCAGCCCCAAACCAGGGACATGATCCTAAGCCTACGGAAATTAGCCAGCTGAAGTCAGAACCATTACCCTTGCTCCCCTCTCTGCCCTGCCACTGCCTTCAGTTAGCTGTTCCGCCAGCTTAATACAATTTCGTTTAACTGTGGCTGAACGACAAACCAGTCCAAAACCTAGTAGCTTCAACAATAGCCATTTTGTCTGACAGTTCAGTGGGTTAGCTGGGCGGTTCTTCTGCTGGTTTTGCTGGATCGCTTATGCGGGTGCATTCAGCAGAAAGTGAGCTACAGGCTGGGCTCCGAGGTGAGGTCTCGGAGGACTGGGCCCCTCTTTCCACATGGTCTCTCAAGGAGGTTGGGTCTCTTCCCATGTCATCCTAGAGCAGCATTCCAAGGAGGCAAAAGCAGAAGCCACAAGGCTTCATGGGACCTGGGCTTAGAGGTCAGACAATGTCTCTTCCACCTCATTCCCTTGGTCTAATCAAGTCACAGGCCAGCCCAGACTCATGGACTGGGAAGTCAGCTCCACCTCTTGATAGGAGGATTGTGTTTTAGTGGGACTGTAACTGGACTCACCAGAGGAAGTAAACCCCATTAACCAGAAAGACACTGGAAGCTTCTTGATATCCACTAACAAAGAATAAAAGACAAAACCCACTTACTATGTACTGGATATCGTGTTAAGTACTTGACAAGAACCCAATGAGGTGGATGTTAGAGAAGAACATTTGTTTCTCAGGCTCCTGCTTCACGGGCGAGGCAGAATTCTCTGAAGACGAACTCCCTGCCTTCCTCCCCTATTTCCTCCTTCTCATGGGAGCAGTGTTAAGGCACTAAAAATTTATGTTACCATTTTCCTTCCTTCAACCAAATTCAGGTTAATAAACAAATCTTCATATATCGCGTGTCAAGCACTTGCAACCCAGAAATCAATGGGGACACTCTCACCTTTGAAAATTCAGTTAGAATTGACTCGAAACCCCTCTCCTGCCATAGTGTGGTGAGTCCTGAGTTCCCCTCCATTCCCCTGGGTTTGCAGTAGGAGCACCACTTAATCTTACTTTGCCTTATTCCTAGTGGGTTGTAATTCCATGATCCTCCTTCCACCAAATTATAAATTATCTCAGCATCTTATATGTGTTACTTCTCCTCCACACTGTCCCCAGATTTGGAATATGGGCACGTGCCTTTATTTCCTCCCTTAGACAGCCCCTACACCAGGCATCTGGGAGTGAAGCAGGCCTGTTTGAAGGTGCAGAGTGTGTGTGTGGGGGGGGTGCTTTGCACTGTTCAGGCCCCTCCAGCCTCTGCTGAGACCTGCAATTGTCTATCCTTGCTCCACTCCCACTGTGCACTTCACCATGTAAAACACCAAACATATCTAACAGAAGAGAGAATATTATAATGAACCCCCATGTCCCCATCCCTTAGTTTCAACAATCACCAACTCACAATGAGTCCTTTCTTCTCTACCTCATCCACTTCCCTGCCAGGATTATTTATTGCAAAGCAAACTCCAGATATCTCTTCATCCACAAATGTTCAGCGTGCATTCCTAAAGAACGTCTTTTAAAAGCATAACCACCATGCCAATACCCTCTTAAATATATAATTAACAGCAATTCCTCAGGATCAGTAAATATCAAGCCAGTTTTCACACTCTGTTGGTCCTTCCTCTTTCACATCGCATCTTCCCACCGAACCCCCACACCCCACCTCTGGGGCTTCATCTTACAGCGGCAATACAGACCCATGTAACAAGTGGCCCATGGGGCACAGCAGGCACACTACAGCCCACAATATTTTTAGAAGCTCACCAAAATGTTTTCATTCTTTTTAAGTGACAAGAAAAAAACTGAACTTTTAGTTTAAAATGTTTTAATATATAACGTGTCTGTCTTTATACCAATGCAGTCACAAAAATATAATTTTTAATGTTATTTAAAAAGAGAGAAGACCCAGAAAGGCAAAAGGGCCAAGTCTCCATGAATGTCCCGGCGCAGCCCTGTACCCGAGACATCTCCTCGTAGATGTCTCAAAGGCGTCCCCTCATCTACGTGTTCAGAATTGAACACAGAAGTCTCCACTGTCCTCTTCTGTTCCTCTCCCAGTGTTCCCTACATCAGCAAAGGGCTCACTAGTGTGTAAAGAAGGGTCGCCCAAATGAGAACACACCAGGCTACTTATTCAGAACTTGCCACAGCAGGAGGGTCAGTTACCGTCACTTGCACTGGGCAGAGGCTCAATGGCAGACAGGGGAGTGGGAAAGCCTTATGGTGGAGGTGAGGAGGGGAGGATTTGGGATGCTCTGATTAGAGGCTGTTGATGGGGAAGTGGGGGATAGGCTTAACGGAGGCAGGGAATCTTATGTGATTGGCTTAAGGAGTCTATTTGGCTTTTTGTTGAAACTGGGAGCAAAAAAATAAGCGCTAGTAAGGACCACTGACCAAATCCTGGTCATTCAGGAATGACCATTATAGAGGATGAGTCAGAGTTCTACCATCATATGTGGCCTGGCCACTGTCCACTTATATACTCAGACATTCGCTATCAATCTAGTTTCATAAGCTAGAAATCCAGGAGTTACCGTGAACGCTTCCCTCTTCCTCACCCCATATCCAGTCCATTACCAAATCCTACTCACCACCAAATCCTTATCTTTCAAGTCTATCACTTCTTTCCATCTCCACCATAGTACCACAAAACTACCTTCATCTTTCATCTGATCTGCTGACTGGCCTCCTAATTTGTCTACCTACCTCCACAGCTGCCTCCTCCCCAACTTATTTCCCACAGTAATATTTTCAAAAAGCAACTCTACTTACATTATTCCTGGCTTAGATTACATTAACAACTCCCATTGGTTTTAAGATAAAGACTAAAACCTTTAAAGTGGCCTCCAGGGCCTCGCTCAGTCTGGCTCCCATCCTTCTGCCTCCCCCTGCACCACAAAAGCCCGTTTGTCTTTCATTCTGAGTCACACCAGCCATCTTCCAGTCCCTGACACATCCTCTTACCTGCCAGAGGATTTACTGGAAGGCCTGGGCAGCTCCTGAGTCAAAAGCATAGGTGAAGGGCCAGGGTAGCTCCAGAGGCACAGGTAGCAGGAGCGAATGAAGTAGCATCGGGGCACCGCTACTTGGTATATCAGCTCCAACCACCCCCTGTCCCTTGCACCACTCTGCTTGACCCAAAGCATGGAGGACAGGCAGTTCAAAGGGCTTGGCTGGCTTGGGTCATGTGCCCAACCTTCAGCCGGGACACCTTAAACAGAAGTCTCAATAAAGCATTAAACAATGAAGAAAAAGTTCTTCCCCAAAAGAAAATTGGGAGTTATTCCCAGAAAGAGGAGGAATGAATACAGGGTGGAACCCCTGAATCAACAAATGTCCACTAAACACATGTTCCCACTACCTGGACTGACTTCTTGTCCCCTCTTTGCTTCATTAACCCTACTCAGTTTTTAGATTACAGCCCAATTGTCCTTCATTAGAAATGCCTCTTCTCACTTTCCTAAGGGAGTCAAAGTTCTCTATTCTGTTATTTCTTAGTACAATAATCTCTCCTTTATAGCACTTGCCACTGTTGTAGTTTTACATGTATTTGTTATTGTTTGAATTATATACATCTCTCCCAATTGGCTAAATAATCCCCGAGAGAAAAGTCCATATTTGTTTGACTCTCTGTGGCATCTCCAGTGCCTAGCACAGTACCTGGCAAAGCAAAGATATTCAAAAACATTTATTTAATGAATGAATCAAGCCAGAAAGATATTTGTTTTCCTAGTGAAATAAAGTATGCCACTTCCCTCTCAGAAGCCAAAAGCCACTACATTTTTGAACAATTACTTCCAATTCATACTTTATTAGATAACATTCTTCATTAATCTATAGAATAATGCAGTAGGAACCCACTTTACACATAAAGAAACAGGCACAAGTAGTTAGGGAATTTGTTCAAAATCACATATCTGATAAATGATCCATAGGGGATACAAACTCAGGTCTGTCCAATACCAAAACTCAAGTTCAAGACTACTAGGTAGTATTGTCTCACCATAACAATAGTTATCTCCTAAACACAGAAGCCTGAGAGACAGAGCTGATTCATCTGTAAAATCGGTTTTCAAATAAGTTCATTTTCATGTAAATCCAGATATGTCATAAAACTTAGTTTAATTTGTAAAATACTGATCCACGGAGAAAATAAATATATGAAATTTTTAAACTTTGGGGCAGATGCAATTTGACAGGGAATTATAACACCAAATGCCTTGCTTTTTCTATCATTCATGATCAGTAACACTGAGCATGAGTAAAGGAATGGAAATTGGTGGAGGTGTGATCGTTTAAGGTAACCTGTTCCCTGAATTTCATCTACAGATTATAAAAAGCTTTTAGATTTATCCAAAAAGGTTTCACTCTTTCAGTGTTATTTCTTGAGAAGGAGGGGAGATTGGAAAAGTAATACAAAGTCTGTTTTTGATTCTTAGGACTCATGAGAGAAGGCACTGAGCCCAGATCAGCTACTGGGGAACACGGACCTCACTGGGATAAGAAAAGTGAAACCAGCCAATATAAGGAAGAATGTTCTTCAGGTCAGTCACAGCCAAGACGCTTGTGAGGCAATAGTAAGAATAGGACAAGCTATTGTTTTCTCTTTTATTCCATCCTAGAGTCCCCAAACCTGCTAAACACATGATGACAGGGTCACAGCAGCAATTGCTCATTGATGGTCACAGTGGCGTCCCCTGGAGGTCCTGTATGTTTTTGACATTGTGGGGGGAATACAAACCAAACAGTACCGGAGTAGGGAACTAAGATGTCTAGTATGTCTTCTAGATACATAACTAGAGTTTGTGATGTAGCTCTCTGTGTTTAACGTGTAAGAGGTTCTGCCAACTCCTTGATCCTCTGAGAACATTTTGATTTCAAAGCAGCTGGCTTGACTTTAAAGACCTGTGGATCGTAGTATACAATATGCATAGGAGACCTGAAATGGGAGGAAAAGAATTCAACTTGAAATAAGGTGAGCAGACAATGGAGCTAACATCCCCCAAGCACCCACCCTGTGGCAGGCACAATGGTAGGATCCCACTGATTTTCACAAGCGCCCACGAGAGAGGAATCACGACTTCCACCACACAGATGAGGAAATGAAGGCTCTGGGAAGTTCTAAGGCTGATCTGTGGTCAAATTCAGATTGGTGTATCTGTCAGATTCCAAAGCATTTGCTCTTTCCACAGAAAGTAAGTTCTGGGAGCTTCTCAATAAGTTGGCAATGTTAAAACAAGCCAGACAGTCCTCTGGTAGGCTTAAAGAAATCAGATTTTTGAAGTTTCCACCCTTAGCACCTTACTGCCAAGTAAGAACTTTAGAGAAGGGACCTTGAGCACTCAACCTGACTCCTCCCTCCCCTTTGTCAATGCACAGGGAATACTTTTCATTTCCTTTGGTGCTGAACTTCATTTTTTAAGGAAAGACATCTTACAATTTTTTTTAATTTTATATTACATAAGAACGAACATATTTCCTGTTCCCTGGGTTCAAGGGTTCTACAACTTTTTCTGTGTCTCCAGGTTTTCCTGATGATGCTTAAAAAGAGAGGTCAGGTATTATCCCTCAAAGGCTACAAAATGAACTGAGGTTCAGGCAGGTTAAGAGGTCTTTTCAAAAGTAAACAGGAATTAGAGACATTTTCTCCTTTGTTGAAGGATTTTCTCATTTATTTGGAATAGGTCATATATGTACATGGTACACAAACATTGAAAAATACAAAAGCCTATTTAGTGAAAAAATAATTCTTACTCCCATCTCAGGTCCCCAGGCTTCCAAAAGGAACCATCGTTACTGCCTCCTTATATACCCTTCTTAGACACCGCGGGCATGTGCAAGCAAATGTATGGCACATATGCATTTTTTCCTTGCACAAACTGTAACATTTATGTGCTTTTTTGGTAACTTGTTTCACTTTGATAATATATATTAGATAGATAATCCAATATCCATAATTACAGAGTTGTCTCCTAAATCTGTTTCAGTACTGGTCCACTAACCCTTAATTATAGCCTTATATTTATTTGTCACAACAAATGTAACAAATGAGTGAGATGTTTTTACATTTTTCTCATACTTCTACAGTTCTTTTCACTGGCCTCATTAGGTCAACTTTCCTCTGTCCCTAGCACCGCCATCCATTCCTGTCCCACCCTAGCCCTAAGTTGACATACCTTGTGCTTGGATTAGCCAGTTCTTGGACTCTGGGAGAAGCTTTGGAATGCAGAGCAGCATACGAGACTGGCCAGTAGGGGTCACGGGGAGGTAAATAACCTTCATGAAGAGACTTGGCCTGAGCTAGAGCTATTATTCGAGAGCTGGCTTTAGCTAGCAGGGCAGCTTGGGATATCTATTGTGGAAACAAAAAGACACAAAAATATATCCAAAACTTTTACCACATATCCCTCTCTTTACAGCTATATCCCTAATCAAGTCACCATCATTTCTTTCCTGGATTCCTAGAACAGACTCCTGGTTTCCCTGCTTCCATTCTTGCCCATGTACAATCCAGTATTCACACAGCAGTTACTGAGGGAGAGAATGAGCATTTTAATGAGTGCATTCCATGAGCCAGACAGTGTTCTAAGTCATTTACCTATGTCACTGCTAGTTAATCATGGTAACAACCCCATGAGGTAAGTACTTTCTGAACCCCAAGACAAATCATGTCACTTCCAGAGTTTAAACCTCCAGTGGCTTCTTGTTTGGCTAAGAATAACATTTTGGCTCCTTACTGTGGCCTAGATGGAAGGCTCAGAGTGACCGGGCCGCCACACCACCCCCACCTTGGTCACTATGAGCACCCCGCCTCCGTGATGACACAAGGCCCTTCCGGCCCAGGTCTTGCCATCTCAGGACCTTTGCACTTGCTAACTCTGCTTGGATTCCTCTGTCCTCAATCTTGTCATGGCTGCCTCTTCATTACTTAAGTCTCTTGGCTCAAACATCACATCCTCAAGGACTTCTTCTTCCCTAACTGTATAAAAATAAATCAGCTTTTCTAATTACCCACTTCCACAGTACTAAGGGCACTTTCCAACTCCTGACTGAGCTCATTTATCTCATTGTTGATATTTTATTGTGTGTTTCTTCCCTCTAGAACAGTAAATTTAAACCTTTTTCATATCATGATGCATATAAACTAATTACCAAAATTATGTGGCACACCGAAAAATATATTGTATTTTTTCCCTATCTGACAAAAAATAGGTATACTTTTGATTCATTCACACCAGACGACTATCATTGTATTGGCTATTGTTAATTTTATTTGACAATCTAAGGAAAAAGAGGTCACCACCCCTGAATAAATAGTCAGGTATTTCATGTTTTTAAAATTCTTGCAGCACACCAGTTGAAAATTGCTGCATTAGAATATAAGCTGCTTGTGAGAAGTACAGCAGGTCCTCAGATAATGTTGTTTCATTATAACATTGGTGAGATGCCTAGGAAATTATCTCTTGTTTATATCAATTAGCCTATGGTAACATTGGTTTGGTTATATGTTGTTTGCTTATGATCACAGAACTTACCAACGATGTTAAGTAAGAACTTATTGTACTTGTTTGCCAAAAGCTAGAATAGGTTCTGGTGCATAATTGGCATACAATAAATACAAAATGACTGACTGATTGATCAATTCCTTTTGGTCTTACTTGGAAAATCACAATTTCCAGGTTGCCTTTCTATTGTGCTGCTTTACTGATGATAAAACAGGAAGGATGGTGTATAGCCATTATTCTCTCTCTTAAGTGACCACTGGAAAGAACTAAGACAGATAACAAACACCACTCAGCACCCCTGAAAGTGTTCTGTGTTGCAGTGGTACAGATTTATTCTGGTTCTAAGTGTATGATTATCTGCAGTGGTATCACTTTTTAAAAAGATTTTTAAGCGCCCCCCCACTGCCCAACAGTTCTAGCAATTAAAGAAAAATGCCTGTAATTCTCCTTTGAAAACCAAAACACTGAGAATAAAGTGATTTGCTTGAGGGACAGAAAGCAAGTCACTTCAGCAAACTTAAGACCCTCTTTCAAGTGTTTTTAATTCCCAGATTAGTTTTCTTTCGAAACAGAATTCCATATCAAATCCTCAGATTCTGAGAAGGAGGGCAAAATTGGTCCCACCTTCTTTGACAACATAATCATTAGATATTTATTGAAAACTCAGCTGGGATTGGGCACCAAGGTGCCCCTACAATGAATGGAGGGACGTGTCAGGAGGAAGAGCAAGAGAGACACTGAATGTGCCAGGCTCTGTGCCCAGCACAGCCCTTCTCTATTATTACACACTGTTAACACTTATCCAAGTGGGAACTTTTATCTCTACAGTTCCCTTGCTCCCCCCATTTTCAAGGTCATCCCAGCTTCAGGACCCTGGCATGTACTCTTCCCTTTACTAAAATATTCTCTTCTCAGATCTTCGTGTAGCTAACTCCATCTCCTTATTTAGGTTTCATCTCAAATATCCCTTCCTCAGAGAGGTTTTCCCTAACAACCAAATGCAAAGAAGCTTATCTCCATAATCATTCATTTCCTATTATATATTCTTCATAGCACCTATCATTGCTTCATATTATCTTATCTGTTTACCTATATATGTTTTTGTTTCTCTTCATCTTATTCACTGGCAATGGTGTCTGGCACACAGTAGGCATTCTAATACTGGTTGAATGAGCAAGGCTCAGGAAGGTTGTTATAACATGGATCTAGAGCGGCAAGGCTATAATTTGAAACCAGCTATTACTGACTCCAAACTTCATGCTCTTCACCCTCTACCCACCAGTCCCTCTCCATATGTAGCAGGTAGGTCTTCCTGCCTGTCCCAGACTTTCTTTCAAGACTCCTTTTTTCAATGACTTTGGCCAATGCCTTGTAGAGGAAAAATAGCACCTTAGGAACAACCAGATCATGAGCTGAAGGACACCAAGGCAGTATGGCTTACAGGACGGATAGGCACTTCACTTCTTTGTCTTGGATAGCACAAACCCTCTATCTTGATCCTTGGATGGGCAAGGTCTACAATTCTTGGACTTGCAACAGCATTCAGGGCAGAGATTGAAATCCTGTTTTCACTCTAGTGGAGAAAAATAAAATACTACCTGTAAGTATTGAATAATAAACACTATCTTGATCAAGGTTAAAGGGTAGGTCTGACCTCTGGACCAGACTCTTCAGCAAACCCAGCAGGAAGAATGAGAATCTTGCGGGAACTCACAATCATAACTGAAAGAATCAATCCCTATCTTTCTCAAACCAGGTTGTAAGGATTCCAACTCAACTTTTCAGGAACTTACTGCTAAACTATAGCTGATTTATGGAGTAATGGCTGATTTATGAAAACTCAGCCAAGAGGAAGGTCCAGCCCTACCACATGCAAGCACTTTAAGGGGCAGAGCTCTACTTTGTTCTTAACTATTTGTGCCCTTCAGACATTGGGACTCATACCATCCCAAATCCTCGTGCTTCCAGGAAATTTTAGTGGCTCTCTTATAAGTCGAATGGATATCAAATAGAAACCAAAGCAAAGAAGAAGAAAGGCAAAACCACATATCTCCATAGAGAATGTTGTTCTGGTCCTCCAGGTCACTTCTCACTATCTTAATTGTGGAAATATGTTCAAATTCATGGTCTTCTATTTAAATTACTGCTATCTGAACTCAAAATTGACCATAAGACTTTGAGGGTAAATATAGTCATTAACTAGAAATAAAGTACGGTTTTAACTATGGGTGGAAAAATAATATAAAAGTATGTTCCTAATCCCTTCTTTTGTTGTTTAAAATGATGATGGTGATGATGATGATGATGAAGATGATATTAACACTGACAGTGTTCTACATGTATTAATTTATTTATTCCTCACCTGGAGTATCATTTTTATTTCATTTTACTGCTGGAGAAACTGAGATAATTTGAAGGTCAGTAGTTTATTTAAGTTTATATAGTTAGTGTGTGGCAGAACTGGGCTTCAAACGGAAGATTCTACCTGTTGGTGCAACACCCTGAAGTACCAAATAAGAATCTTAAGTATTTACTATGAGTTAAGTTTTGTCTCTTATCAGGCTCTGGGAAAATCAGAGAAATATATGATAACCATTGCCCTCAATTAAGACTTATAATTAAAAAGGAAATAAAACAATCATTTATTAATTCAGTTCATTAGACAAATATTTTTTAATAGATTATGTTATGTGAGACACAACAAAGAATAATAAAACAATCTCTTTCCTTAAAGTAATTTTCAACTTAGAAGAAACCATAGCCCAACAGGAAAATCTTTAAGATTATTTGATACCCATAAAAGAGAATAAATAAAACTTAGAAAGACATTGGAGAAAGAGTGGGAAAATCCAGGATTCCCTTTTTAGGAATAAAGGAATATGAGATTGGACCTTGAAGGAAGGATCAGATTTTGACAACTAGAGGGAAGAGGAAAGATAGGAAGGATAAAGAAAGGATGATGAAGTGGAAGATATAAGGGGGATAAATAGTAATGCAAAAATACAACAAAAATAAAATAATAGAAGAAAGGATGATGAAAAGAAAAAGAAAGGAAGATGGAAAGGAAAGTCAGACCATAGAGGCAAAGAAGCATGGAGCAGCTTGTCTCTGGTTGTGCAGGGAGACCAGGCCTGTAGATGCATTTGTGACCAGATTATATGTGAGGAGGGGGCATTCTTCAGCGCCAGCCAAGAACCATCAAATCTTTACTTTAGAGAGTAGGCGGGGTCAGAGCTGGAGGTAACCTGTCAGGCCGGTGAGAGAAGGACTGGAGCAGGGACGTAGGGAGCTGGAAGGATAAGAGGAATGTTACGGCCAAAAGAAGACAACAAGGGTATATATACCCTACCCCATCCTAAAATATTTTTAATGTTGCAATATTTTAAGCAAAATGATACTTGTACAATGTATCAGTGTAACCAAATAGAAAATTCAGAAATATGATCTAGTACAGTGACTCAATTATTTTTGGTCGAGAACCCCTTTAAGTTACTCTTAAAAATGATGGTTTCCAAAGACTGAGACACTTGAGAAAATTTATCATTTAATCTTCCAAAAGTAATTTCAGTACATGTTCCTCTAAATTTTTTATGACATACAACTATATTTCCCAAAACAAAAAAATGAGAAAATGGATATGTTTCAATTCTTGTAAATCTCTATAATACCTGGCTTAAAAGGACATTGTTGTTTTGGTTGAACTATAAGAAAATCCAGCCTCACACAGTAGTTAGAAATGCATATTTTAACAACTTTTTAACTGTCGATATTCTTTGACACTACAGGAAAACTTAACAAATGGTAGTTTCTCAAATATTAGTTGCAATCTGAAACTATGTCAAGGAACTTTTCATATTTTATTACCTTAAATTCCATTGGTTTATCTTTCAAATTGAAGGAAACTCTTAATCATGCATGATTCTGAACTTGCAGATTACTTGAAAGGGTCTGGAGAACCTTTATACATACCCGGGTTACATTTTTACAAACTGTTACCCCATTATAGATAATATTATGGTATATAATAATTCTGGCAGGGAATAAATGAAGGGTAGGGCAATAGTGAAAGGGGATTCTTGCCATTTTATATAAAAATACTTCAAACAGATTGAGGAATTAGCTATTTTTTTTGGTTTATTTATTTATTTATTTATCTATTTATTTTTGTCAGGTAATTATATACTTTACAAAGTGTTCTCCCTGATATTTCCAATACCCAATTGGCACCACACATAATTATTGCAATATTACTGACTATATTTCCTGGGCTATACATTACATCCCCATGACTATTCTGTAACTACTAATCTGTACCTCTCCATCCCTTCACCTCTCTCACCCAGTCCCCAAACCCTCCTCCCCTTGGGCAACCATCTGTCCATTCTCTGTATCTATGACTCTGTTTCTGCTAAGATGTTTTAATTACAATATTAATATTATGTAAAATAAATAATATGTAATGTTGGCAAGAATGCAGTGAGAAAGGCAGCCCAGGTAATGTAAGTAGATATGTGCATCAAAATCACTTTTGTTGGAACACATTTTGGGATTTTATATGAACCTCCTCAAAAATGTTCAGACATTTGATGGAGTCATTTTACTTCTAGAATTTTTATCTCAGAAAATAATCAGAGATTGAGAATGATGAGGGAAGGACGTGTTGGTAGAATGACCTCATAAATTAGTGCAGCAAGTCAGACAAAGCCATGTAAGATATCCAGAGCACGTGTGGGTGACACTCAAAAGTATCTGCTGGATACAAAACTGAGCCTTAAAAGTTAAAATCTATTGAGTTGAGGATTTAAAAAATCCAAACAGGTTGATTAGTCTGAATAGGAGCTTCTGATATATGTAAGTAGACCCTAAGTAAACGAGCTATGAAACCAACCCCTTTTCTAAGTTTTGTAGTCCTGGCAAAGTGACTACAAAAAGAAACTTGGTGTGACATTCATGGGGGTAAAGGGACTTCCTACAGTTCATCTGTTCAAAGTCTGGCACCAAGCAACCTTAGGTGCCTGCGATAGTAACTTGGCTCCCTTTCTGGGCATGTGTTATTTTTAAACTCTGGGAAGATTTAGAATTAACTGTAAAAAGCTAAGAGAATCAAAACATAGAATTAATAGTTGTGTTAAGAATAAGTATGTGCAAGCCAGCCAAGGTACTGAAATTTGAATATGGGCCATGAAGTAGGTATAGTATTATATTAATGTTAAATATCCTGATTTTGATATTAGTATTGTAGTTCTTAGGATATACACACTGAAGTATTTAGAAAAAAGGGTCTATAATGTCTATAACTTATTCTAAAAAATGAGTCTGTTTCAAAAAACAAGCACGTACACACACACAAACACCATAAAGGAGAGAATGATAAAGCCAATGAAATGAAATGTGAATTTTTGCAACTATTCAGTGCATTTGAAATTATTATTAAAACAAAAGTATGCATATACTATTAAAATAAAAAGCATGTACATATTTAAGAGAATTGACCTATTCCAGTGATAATCTTACATTCCTAAAGTACAATTTGATATGTATAACTGAGTAACTGATTTAGAATTATGACATTAAGTTGAAATCTTAAGTTTATGTCATTCTTACGACATTAAAAAACTTCAGGTTCACCATATTTGTAAGTTTAATGTATTAGATTGAAAATAATTATTTAATATTTGAGAAGGTTTTGTTTGTTAAAGTAGATGGTTAAAGTAAAATGCCTATAAAAGAAATCAACCCTGACTGGTGTAGCTTAGTGGACTGAGCACAGACCTGTGAACTAAAGGGTTGCCCACTAGGGTCCCCACTAGGGGGTGCATGAGAGGCAACCACACATTGATGTTTCTCTCCATCTCTTTCTCCTTCCCTTTCTCTAAAAATAAATAAAATATATTAAATATAAAATATTTAAAAATAAATAAATAAATCAAATTTAATGTATTTGTAAATATAAAGTATTTGTTACTATAAAGTATTTAAAGTTATTTAAGTTTGAAACCAAATAAAACATTCAGGACTCTTAAAAGTCACTATTAAAAATGGTTAGAATTTTAAACAGAATAATAAAACTCCCAAGATAAACTTAAATGTATAGCTAAAAAAGAATAGATTTTTTTTAGCTTGGAATTTAAAAAATTGACTATTAATTATTTAAACCAAAAGCATACCTCTGAACAGTTTTTTCTGCATATGAAGACCATGCTCAGTATACCAAAAGACTCACATCATTGGGTGTGGCAGTTTTTTTTCTCATGACTGTAAATTCCTTGCCACTTCTCTCATTGAAAGGTGGGGTTTGTGTCCCTGCCCCCTTGAATCTGGCCAAACGTGTAACCACATCAATCAACAGAGTATGACTGCAGTGACATTATGTGGCTTCCAAGGCCAAATCATAAAAGACTGTGCAGCTTCCACCTGGTTCTTTTGGAATTCTCATCGGTGGGAACTCTAGTTTAGGATATTCCTTCTCAGAATACAGCTGCTCTGCTGAGGGTGGTCTAAGCCACATGGAGAGGCCGTATGTAGGTGCTCCTATACATGAGCACCCACTGAGACTAGCCTTTCAAGTCTCCCAACTGAGACTTGAAACTTGAGACTTTCAAGCCTCCCAACTGAGTCTAGCCTTCAAGTCATCCCAGCAGAGGTACCACAAATAGGTATTGTTATGCAGCGAATGTTTTTGTCCTCCCGTCCAACCCAAAATTCAGTTGGAGCCCTATCTCACAATGTGATGACACTAGGAGGGGCCTCTGGGGGGTCATTAGGTTTAGGTAAGATCGTGAAGGTGGAACCCTCATAATGGGTTTAGTGTTGTTTTAAGAGGAAGAAGAGAGATCAGAACTCTCTCTGCATGCTCACAAAGCAGAGGTCATGTGAGCACACAGCAAGGCAGTTTCTGTGTCTACACCTGGGAATGGGGCCCTCATCAAGAAGAGAATCCACTGGCACCTTGATCTTGGATTTCTCAGCCTCCAGAACTGTTGTTTAAGCTACCTAGTCTATGGTATTTTGTTACGAAGCCTGCAATGACTAAGACAGGGGTGAAGGAACCTTCAGATGATCCCAGCCCCCTGGCATTTCAGGCACTTGAGCTATTGGAAAGATCCCAGCAGAGACTCCAGACATTCTGGAGTGAGCAGAGACAAGCCTGATTGCCCTGTCAGACTTTCTGACTCACAAAATCCTTGAGCATAATAAAATGGTGGTTGTTTTAAGTCACAAAGTTTGGGTGTGGTTTGGTACAAAGCGACAGATAGCCAGATCAGAACTTTAAAGATGGGGTCTCTGTATTGTTTTTAGATGATCTGGAATTTGTTTTCTGAGCTGATTAGATTTAAAGGTATTAATAATCCTCTCTACCAGTGATCAAAAAAAAAAAAAAGACACTGGTAGTCCATGGCATGTAGTGGCAAAACAGAAAGCAAGGCTTTGTGTGACAAAGGAGCAGAGTACATTTTAGTAAAATAAAAAGTATAGTGGGGCCAGCTAATTGCTTCTAAGTGCACCAGAGAACTTGAGGACAAGAAATGATCAGCTGAAGCCTTTAAATTCCCACCTTAAGGTTGGGAGTAAGTGGTCAGAAAGTTTTTGTGGCTTACTTAAAAGAATCCCTTATCTTTTCTGGTCACATGGCTGAAAGTTCTGAAAACTAACTCAAAATCTAATTCTGCACGTGGGTGAATTACAGGGAAAATTGAATTCCTAAGCTTGTATGGTCTTCTGTATTAAAGTTAGAGCACTGATCAGGAAGAAATGCAACCTCGAAAAAATTGGACTAGGGATATGTGTGCAGGTCCAGTGAGTCTGGGGACTTTAAACCCCTAAATACTCCTGAGCCTTTTTTATGGATAGAATCAAGCCTTCCTGCCCTGCCAGAGGTTAGAGGCCCCTTGCTTGAGAAGAAACTGTAATGGTTTCCCTTGAAGTAAATACTTTGCAGGGAACTACTGACCTACCCTTTCTATCTCTCATTGCTTCTACATCTATAACCAGACCCAAGTTCCAGGGGCCATAACAGCCTTTCACTGATTTCTCCATCAGCTCCCACAATGGCTTAAGGTCTAATTCTATTTATATTACTCATAGTAGTTCTGCTTCTCTGATAAAATCCTGACTGATACATGAGATGCAGGGGAGGTCGTCAGAAAAGTTTATTTGATGAGAGAAGAATATAAGTAGGAAGAAAAGGAAAATACACACCTAGAAATAAAAGGGGAGCATGTTACATTTACAAACATGTTACATGTTACAAAGTCAACCAGGAACTGTCTCTTTCACATGGACCCACTTACGCCTTTTGGAGGAACATAGTTTGGATGTATGGATTTGGCTATTGAGAGTCGAATTATCCTGGGAGAAGGACCAGAGAGGTGAACAGGCTCTTTTGTTATGTAATCAGTGAATGACCTATATGCAAATGAAACAAAATATTATAATCACTAGAGGACCAATAGCATTTTTCATTGCTACAATCAACCTCCACACAATTATATATATTGTTTCTATCTTTGGAACATCTTTTCCCATAATCATTAGTGCTCTTTCTACCAGGCTGGTATTTCTCAAAATTTTTCCTTTGGTCCACAGTAAGAGGTACATTTTACATTGTGATACAGTACATGTAAATCTATGTGCGCATCTGAAACAAAATTATCATGAAACTATGTTTGTCCTAGGCAATATATTCTGATTTTTTAAGTTTTATTTTGATTGCATTAAAAGAAAAGCTGAAATTGATTTCATAATCCATTGATGGAGACTTGCTGTTTTTAAAACATTATTATTAACGGTAGTAATCATATGTGGATTCTTAGGATTTCCTATGTCACAAACCACGCCATCTATGTCCTGGCTGGTGTGGCTCAGTTAGTTGGAGCGTCATCCCGTACACCAAAAGGTTGCAGGTTCCATCCCTGGCCGGGACATGTATGGGAGAGAACCAATTAATGTTTCTCTCTCTCTCTGAAATCAATAAACATTTCAAAAATTTTAAAAAATCATGACATCTATAAGTAGAAATAGTTTTACTTCTTCCTTTCCAACCTGAATGTATTTCTTTCTTTTTCTTGCCTAATTTCCCTGACTATAATCACCAGTATGATGTTGAACAGAAGTGGTGAGAACTGACATCCTTGTTTTATTACTGATCTTAGGAGGAAAACATTTAATTTTTCACCATTAATTATGATGTTAGCTGTGAGTTTTTTGTAGATGCCCTTTACCAAGTTATAGAAGTTTACTTCTATACCTAATTTGTTGAGCATTTTTATCATGAAAGTGCGTTGAATCCTGTCAAATGCTTTTTCTGAGTGTATTGAGATGATTATGTAGTCTGAGCTGGTTTTTTAGTCTCCTAATTTGGTGTATATTACATTGATTTTAGTATGCTGTACCAAGCAAATTACAATCCTGGGATAAATCCAACTTGGTCATGGTGTATAGTTATTTTTATATGTTGTTGGATTTGGTTTGCTAGTAGTTTGGTATAGATTGTTGCATGTACATTTGATTTGGTTTGGTATGGACTGTTATATATATACTCATGAGAAATACTGTTTGTATTCTCTTCTCCTATAATGGCCTTTTCTGATTTTGGTGTCAGGGTAATACAGACATTATGGAATGGAATGTGTTAGCAAGTGTCCTATTTTTGGAAGAGTCTAAAGGGTTGTTGTTAGCTCTTCTTTAAACATATCATAGAATTCATCAATGAAGATATCTGGTCCTGAGTTGTTCATGGGAAGTTTGTAAGAAATTATTAATTCAATTTCTTTATTTGTTATAGGTCTGATAAGATTTTTTTATTATTATTATCAAGTCAACTTCAGTAGTTTTTCTTTCTAGGAGTTTGTCCATTTCATTTATATCATCTTATTTGTTGGCTATGCAGTTGCTCATAGTAACCCCTTAAAGTCCTTTTCTATTTCTATAAGGTCAGTAGTAATGACTCTTCTTTTGTAAATGATCCTTAGAAATGTCCCTGTTTCTTTTCATGATTTTAGTAATTTGAGTCTTCTCTCTTTTTGTCTTGGTTAGTCTAGCCAAAGGTTTGTTTTGTTGATCTTTTCAAAGAACCATCTTTTGGATTTATTGATATTCTTTATTTTTCCAATTTCTACTTCATTTACTTCCACTCTAATCTTTATTCTTTGCTTTGTTCTGTTAGTTTTAAATTAATTTGCTTTTATATTGTAATTTCCTAAGATAAGAGATTAGATTATAATTTGAGATCTCTTTTCTTTTTTAATGCAGGCATTTGGAGCTAAGCACTACTTTAGGTGTGTACCATAACTTCTGATATGTTGTGTTTTTGTTTTTACTGTATGTAGAAAATACAAAGTGATGGCCCTGGCTGGCGTAGCTCAGTGGATTGAGTGCGGACTGGGAACCAAAGTGTCCCAGGTTCGATTCCCAGCCAGGCTACATGCCTGGGTTGCAGGCCATAACCCCCAGCAACCACACATTGATGTTTCTCTCTCTCTGTCTATCTCCCTCCCTTCCCCTCTAAAAATAAACAAATAAAATCTAAAAAAAAAAAAGAAAAGAAAATACAAAGTGATTTCTTCTTTGACCTATCGTTTACTTAGGTATGTATTTAGTTGCACATATTTCTTTAATTTTCCAATTTCCCTTCTGCTATTGGTTTTTTTATTTCATTCTATTGTGGTCAGAGAACTAATTATGTACAATTCAATTATTTTAAATTTATTAAGACTCATTTTATGACTTAAAATATGACCTGTCATAGAGAATGTTTTATTTGAAAAGAACGTGCATTCTGCAGTTGTTGGGTGGAGTGTTCTATGAATGTCTGTCAGGTAGAGCTGACTTACGGTGTTGATCAAGCCTTCTGTTTCCTTGTTGATTTCCTACTTCTTTTTCCCATTACTGGGAGTGTGGTATTGAAGAATCCAACTATTAGTATTTACTTGTCTATTTCTCTTCAATCCTGTCAGGTTTTTTTTTTTAAGATTTTATTTATTTATTTTCAGAGAGAGGGGAAGGGAGGGAGAAACAGAGGGAGAGAAACATCAGTGTGTGGTTGCCTCTCACATGGCCCCCACTGGGGAGCTGGCCTGCAACACAGACATGTGTCCTGACTGGGAATCGAACCGGCAACCCTTTTAGTTCACAGCCTGCTCTCAATCCACTGAGCTACACCAGCCAGGGTGGTTAGAGTGTCTAATTCTGTCAGGTTTTGCTTTATTTATTTTAGAGCTCTGTTGTTAGTTGCACATATATTTATAATTATTATATTCTCCTAATGGACTGATCATTTTATTATTATAAATTGTCCTTCTTTGTCTCTAGTAACAATGTTTATCTTAAAGTATATATTGTCTGATGTGCATATTGCCACTCCAGCTCTTCCTTGGCTGGTTTTCATAGTATATCTCTTCCCATTCTGTTACCTGCAGCCCATTTGTTCCTTTGAATCTAAAGTATGTGTCTTAATGGCGACATACTCTTGAGTATGTTTTTTATCTATTCTGTCAATCCCTGCCTTTTGGTTGGAGTGTTCAATTAATTTATATTTAATGTAATTACTGATAACATAGGGTTTATGCCCACCATTTTATTTGTTGTTACGTGTAACATCTTTTTGCTCCTTTTTTGTTCCTGTAAAATATTAGCTAGTTTTAGTATATCATTTTAATTCCCTTATTTATTTTACCATATTTTAAAAATGATATTCTTACTTGTTGCCCTGTACATCTTAACTTATAACAATCTAGTTCAAGTTAATATCACTCCATGTTCTCCCTCTCCTTTGTGCTTTTTTAAAAAACACACTGTATGCTCATCAACACAAGTTTATAATTATTGCTTTATGCAGTTGTCTTTTATATCAGGTAGGAGAATAAAAGTTACAAACAGAAAAAAAAACATTTATGTTGTCTTTTATATGTGCCTATAATAGTTAACTCTTAATGCCCTTTATTTCTTCATGTGGATTCAAGTTAGTTTCTAGGGCTCTTTCATTTTAGCTTGAAGGACTCCTTATATTGTAAAGCAAGTCTGTTGGCAATTAATTTTGTCAGTTTTTATTTACTTGGGAATGTCTTAATTTCTCCTTCATTTTTGAAGGATGGCTAGTATATTCTTGGCTAATTTTTTTCTCCATTCCTGAAATATGTCATCCCACTGTTTTCTGGCATCTATGGCTTCTGGTGAGAAATCACCTGTTAATATTATTGCAGAACATTTGTATGTGATGAGTCACTTCTCTCCTGCTGTTTTCAAGATTCTGTTTGTCTTTGGGTGCGGAGAGTTTGATTATGATGTGTCAGTTATGGATCTCTGTGTTTATCATACTTGAAGTTTGTTGATGGGTAGATTCATATTTTTCATCTTGCTTTGGAAGCTTTGGGCTATTGGTTCTTCAGACATTCTTTCTGCCCCATTATCTCCCCTCTCTCTTTTATGAAATGCCCATTATGGTTATGTTAATACTCTCAGTGACATCCCACAGGTTTATGAGGCTTTGTTTATTCTATTGCATTCTTTTTTTCTTCTGTTCCTCAGACTTGATCATCTCAATTAACCTATTTTAAGTTGGCTGATTGTGTCATCTGACTGCTCAAATCTGATGTTGAGTCCTTCTAGCGAATCAGCTAAAATATACCACAAAATCCAACCTCACGTTGTACACATTGACAAGCCCTGTGTGTTTTCATTAAACACTTGCTTTCCTACCTCCACACAGTTCTAATAAGCTGATATCTATTTCCAGTGCAGGGAAGATCAGAAAAGAGGCTGGTTAGAGACTATTCCCCCAATAAAACAAGAAATTACAAGAAAATTATGAGAAGGAAACATCTCCTACTGTTAAACCACAGAGGTCAGACCATTTCACTTAAAGACAAACTATGCTTCATACTCATCAGCTCCTAAGAGGTTTTCTGTGTTAAAGTGTTATGTAGTAGTTGATGTTCATAATGAAGATCTCAAGCCAGTGAACAAAGGTTACATGTTTGCTCAGTAGCTGAAGAATCTGCTTAGGAGAGCAGGGAGACATAAACCTTTAAAAATGCAAAAAGTTTTAACATTCAAGGAGGTTTCACTAGCATGAAACATCAAACTTAGGTGTCTCAAAAAGTGGTGACAGATAAAGAAAGTATCCCTTTGGTTTATAAATGTAAATATATAACTATAAATTTATATGTATATTTCAACTAAATTAGCAGATTTTGTCAAATGAACTGATAAATAAGCAAATGAAGAAATTCTGTGAGAAGAATTGGGCCTCTTTTGGTAGATTCTGTGATGGAAGAAGACTTAAGTTGCCCAGTTCAACTTCGCTCTGAATGCAGGAATCTTTACTAAAATCAATGTAAAGTGATCATCCCAGACTATGATTGAACACTTTCAGAAATCAGGGTGGAAATGACAGTTGGCTTTTCCTGATAAACCTTTCCATTACTGGATAGCTAATCAGAAAAATTTTCCTAAACTTAGCTGACATCTGCTGTTCTGTAAATTCCTGTTCAACTTCTAGTTCCAGGATGAACATAAAGTAATGTTACTTCTACCTCCTCTTCCTCTTTCAGATGTTGACCCTTTAAACAAGGAAGCAGGTATACTGCTTCCTTAGTCTCTTCTCTAAGCTACACATTTCATTTTCCTTAACTATTTTCATATAATATAGTTTCCAAAAGCCTCAACATCTCATTTATCTCCTCCTGAATAGTCTCAAATGTATTATCACTTTATTTTTTTATTTTTCAGTTATAGTTTACTTTCAACATCATTTTGTATTAGTTTCAGGTGTACAGCATAGTGGTTAGAAAATTGTATACTTTACAAGGCGGTCCTGTGATATTTCAGGTGCCCACCTGGCACCATACATACTTATTATAATGTTATTGACTATATTCCCTGTGCTGTATTTTACATCCCCATGACTATTTTGTGAGTACCAGTTAGTACTCCTTAATCCCCTTACCTTTTTCGCCCAGCCCCGAACCCTAAGGTATAACATCCATAATTGGAGATATACACCAAATGTGTTCTGACTAGTGTACAGTAGTACTACCACTTTCCTGTAATTGTGCACTGTATATATTCCATTAATGTAACCTAGCATATTCCAGCAGACACATCACAATCTTAGCTTCCTTGTGGAAGGTATCACTAAGCTGTCTTTTAAAGACAAGGAGAAATTCAGCATTCAAAGCAAAAGGGAGATCATGTGCAAAGTCACAGAGGCATAAGAAAACATTAAATTCTATAAATTGCAAAAACCTATAACATTTCATTGCACATTTCCTTTTAATTGGCTGACAGTGGTTAAGGTTAGCATGTCAAATGTAATTAATGATGAAGATCTGATTATCTAGAGTTGCTGAAAATATTTTTTTACAATGGTCCTTTGAAACACAAGATGACTTAGTTTAGGCAACTGTATGCACTAAAATAAGAACAACAATATTGTGACATTTAACCAGATTAGATTAGAACTTATGGAGGGTCTCGAGGTATTCTACCTATCTGTTAGATGCATTATCTTGAATCTGTTGGGCTGTGCTAGCTTCTGGATCCTTTTGGAAGGTTTACTTAACAGCACAGGAGGAGGTATATCCCAGATTACAGATTCTCTACCGCAGCTATAGTAATATTGAACCCTGCAAGTTGTAGAGAGAAAAGAAGTGAAACAAGCATGAATTCAAATTACCACTTGAATTCAAACACTGACACTCTCAGCTCTAGGGAAAGGGGCCTGACAGCTTATCCCTTTACTGCTGAGCTATTTTCTACGTGGGAAGAAATTAGAAATGGTTGCAGCCATCCCATTTTCAGCTGCCTTGTAATACCCTATTCCAAAACAGACAATTTACCATAATAAATAAATTGCATCTTTTAAACAGACCAAAAAATATACTAACATGGTTACCCCCATTAAGTTTTCAGCTGGTTTCTAATATCCTGTTCCAAAACAGATAACTTTATGTAATAAACAAATTGCATCTTCTAAACAAACAAAAAAGTATATTGATAAAGAGAACATTTACTGCTTTCAAACCAAATGATTTAACTTCTATATAGATACTTTAAATATATTTCCTATATTTTTAGTTAATAGCATGAATTACATTGATGTTTTTCTTTGTGAAAAGGAATTCTGATTTCAGGAATAAATTCTACTTTATTATGGTATATAGGTTATTTCATCATAATTGGGTTTTGTTAACTAAGATTTTATTTAGGATAAATAACAATACTGTTCTTTTCACTCCTGCCTCTCAATCTTTTCTTAATCAAGATACAGTACATCGTCAATGGGAAAGGAAGTGACATGGACTACTTTGGACCTGGGGTTAGATCAGATTGCAGGCCCACTTATATTATTTTCCTAGGAACTTCTGCTCCTTTAACATTTTCATGGATGTAGATCTGCATCCATATGTTCAGGCCTCAGTCTTCTGGTTGGTAATGTAAGTCTGGGAGTGTTTAAGCCCATATCTCCCTCCTGTGCTTGTGACCATCCAATCTGGAGGCCTGTCCACATACCACACATCTGCTCTCAGAGGGCTTGCGCCTGCCCAGCCCACGCGCCACTGCCTGACTGGACTGACGCAGCCACCCTCACCCACATACACAGCCAAACTCAGACAGGCAGGGAACCTCCTGTACTTCCCTGGGATTAGGTGATTTTGACCAATGAGGCAACTTCAGGTAGACCAGACCCTGGTAAGGAGTGTGGGAGGAGTGGGAGGAATGGAAGGAAGACGTTATTAGGCAGCCAATGAGCACAAGAGCAAGATGTGTTGCAGAATAGGGAAAAGGGTAGAAGCCCAGGGAGCAGGTGAGAAACACAAAAAGGAAGATGGGAGGACACCAGAGACATAACTCAATGATTCAACATTCTCTCAGCTGGGAACAGCAAACACCAAATGCCGTGAATATATGTACTGACCATAATACTTATGCTTTATGCTGTGGGCACCTAGAAGTGCATGAGTGAGATGGAGGAAATAATACATTTTATGGTGATTATGAAGATTTAGTGAGAGGTGTACATCATTTTATAAGTTAAAAAGCACTATTCAAATAAGATTTTATCGTTAACCAACTGTGTATTAATTTTACATTTCATGTGTGCATATCTTTTCTCCTTATAGATACTGCATATGGATAGAATACAGCGCTGCTGTCTTTCTATGCATCTCCACTCCAGTCATCCACACCCGAGTCTCACAATTCCATCAAGGTAGCAGGCACACTCAGCTTCCACCTTAAGAAACTACAAAAAAGAGAGAACCCTCCCCCCACAGTAATCAGAGTGAAGGAAATAATAAAGAACACAGCAGAAATAAAAAAATAATAAACAGCAAAATAATAGAAAAAATTGATGAAACCAAAAATTGATAAACTTCCAGCCAGAATGATTGGCAAAAAAGAAAGAAGGCACAATTTCTAATATCAGGAATGAGAGAAGGGGACCATCACTTGAGATTGGACGATATTAAAAGGACAATAAGAGACTATATGAACAACTTTATGCCAGCACATTTTAAAACAGATGACATGGATAAATTCTTTGAAAAACATATACTACCAAAGCTCATTCAGAAAGAAATAACTTGAACAGCCCTTGTCAAAAGTTTAGTTAAGCTTCTTCATGGTACCATTGCCTTGAATCCATTCTGCTTGGTCAAGCAGCCTACAGTGACAAAAAATCAGTCCCTCATGCAAGCACATGCCCTAGACAGCAGCCCACCAAGTCACAAAGTAAATGCAAGTTCCATTTACCCAATGGCCCTTGGTCTGTCTCCCCTGACTCCTAATGCCTTGTCCTCATGCTCAACTCCCAGAAGATTCCTGGGGAGCTTACCAAAGTCCCACTCTTTTGGTTTGAATTGGCCAATCTGGCTTTAGCCTGGAAATCCCAAAGCATTCTATCCACGGACCCCAATAAAAACATGTGCCCCAGGTTCTGCCTTTCTTTGTCTGGACTCTGCCTTGACCTCCCTGTGTGACCCCTTGAGGCATGCCAGGTACTTCTCTAGGACCTGTGAGCAATAAGCTTCTCTATTTCAATTTCCTCTATGACCTGCCATTGAACTGCAGTTCACCATCTGGCACCCTGTGCTCCACTTAGCAAGTGTTAATTTGACAAATTCATAAGAGCCTTATATCTATTAAATAAATTAAGTTTATAGTTAAAAATCTTCCCACCAAAAACCTCTAAGCCTAGATGACTTCATTGGTGTATTCTATCAAATATTTAAAGAAGAAATAAATACCAATTTTATACATTTTCCAACTCAATGGTAACAGCATTACCATGAAAAAGATGTTATAAAAAACAAAGAAATTACCATGAAGACATTACAAGAAAACTACAGACCAATATCCTTCATGGACATGGATGCAAACATGTTCTTCATTGGAACATGGACATGCAGTATGTGCATGTCTAAGGCAGCTTTCCCACTACAATGGCAGAGTTGGGCAGCTGCAACAGAGACTTTGGCCTACTTTATATCTTGTGCCTACCAGAAAAATTGCTGACTTTTGACTAAAGTTGTATATTGAAAAAGATGGAAAAATGGCCACCTCAATTGCTCTGAAAACCAAGCTTTAGATGAATAATAGTGTCTGCACCTTTTTTTTTTACTTTAACCTCCCTCACTGCTTACATCTGTCCCCACTCCCCACCACAGTAGTTCCTTAAAGAGACAACCAGCAAAAAGTCTAGTCATTTAACAAACATGTGCTAAAAGCAAATTGGCAATGGGCATCAAAAGCTTTGACAACATTTTTCTCTTCAGATGTCCTAATTAACTTGTGGTAATCAAGCATGTGGGGGGTTTACAAAATTCATAAAATTCCATGCACAAATAAGTTTATCCACAGCAATGTTACATTTGGTGCCTATCCTTGTACGATGCCCTTACTTTACTAAAATATAGAAATCCTGATAAATTAAAACATTATAAGATATAGTACACATCTGTAGTAGCTAAATATTAGATCTTGCTCTGGAAAAGTTTTACTGTAGCATCAGATTGGAAACATATAGACTCCCTAATCCTTAATAAATTTTGACTACAAGACTATTTATGACTTTTGGATAAAAAGGGATGGGTTCTGTGTTCATTTTTTCTAGAGACTCCTGATGAAATAACCTGATAACATACAATACTAACCTGTTGGGTATATATCTGTAGGAGACTTCCTTGGGCAAGGCAAGGTTCTCAAGTCTTTTGGTAATCTGAGTCTTCAAAGCACCATGGCGAACAGGGCGAATAGGGTCTTGATTTCCCCAAAATAGTATTCTGTTTAAAAAAAAAAGAAAGAAAAAATGTTTAATAAAATAAGCAAAAAAAGGAAAGAAATTCACTGTTAATGAACATCTTAGACTACTTCTCTACTAATTTTACTTCAGCTTAAGAACTATCTCTATTACAAAACTTTACAATTTCCAGGCATCAGAAGCAGATAAACTACTTTATGTAAGTTGAAATTAAAATAAGATTAGATGGTTTTATCTACAACCTTAACATGTGGTGATCAAAATGAACCTATTAGAGGTAGATAGTTCTGCTTCTGCCATCAGGTAGTTAACATGGCAATTTACAGTCAGTTTATCATAAAGTGGTCATGCCACCTCTCTATGCTGTGCTCTCACTTTGGGTGATGAACTGTGCCAGGCGGTCATACAATAAAACAGTAAGAGAGTAATATTAATATCTATTGTTTATAGAATACTTACTGAGGGCCAGGCACTGGGCTAAGTGCTGTACAGACATCAGGTCATTTAGTCTCTACAGCCCTGTGAAACAGGTATGATTACTGGGCAGGGTGTGAAAAGAGAGGGAGAAATCTGTCCCAGATTAACCTGACAAGGTGTCATAGAAGTAAGTAGAAGACACAGACTGCCAGAAAAAAAGACACCTTTCAGGTTGGGGTACCTATGAGAAATGGGAATAAGCAAGGATTGGGCAAAGCGTGTGCTGGCAGAAGCAGAAAGTCATGTTGGGAGTAATTAAGTCACCTTGCTAGAATCAATGGGGAAGGCCTTAGAGACCTGGCCAAGAAAAGGTAAAAAGTTACCTCAGTAACCTGACTCTGCACATACCTGAATTTGTCAACTAATTGAGCTTATCCCTTTAAAGGCCCCAGCCATTTTTTTATTTCTAATTTTTGTCTATATTATATATATTCCTCTGTCTCCAGTTCACAAGCATCAGCCAGACTCACTATTAGAAATGTTTATTAATAAATTAATATCTCCATGTACTACATTCTGCTGATTCCTTTTCCTAAGTATGACTCAACTCTGTTGATTTCTCACCATCCCCGTGGTTATCTCCCTTGTCCAGATCTCATTATCCATGTTCCTTTCTCCACAGCATTGTCAGAGTGATCTTTCTCTAGTCCAATCTGATCAAGTCATCTCCTTGTTTTAGACACTTCAAAGGTTTCCATTTGCTCTAGAATACAGTTCCAACTCCTCACTGTGGCTTACAAGGCCCTCCACAATTTTGACAAGGAGCCCCTTCCTCTCCACCCTACATATTCTTCCAGGAGAGAAATTATGTCTTAACCTTTTGAAGATTTCCCCTTCCACAGTTTAGTGTTGTGCACAACAGGTGCTCAATCAGGGTTTGGTGAGTGAATGAATGGTGAAAACTGGGGACTCACCTAGTGGTGATATGAAACAGAGATTAGAGAAGAGAGAATGACTTCAGGGAGAATAAGAGGCTAAAGCAGAAGCTTGTGTCCTCACCTGGTGGAAGGGGTCAGGGTGCTCTCCAGAATCTCTTATATAAGGGCACTAATCCCATTCATGAGGACTCCATGCTCTTGACCTAATCACCTTCCAAAGACCCACCTCCTAATCCCATTGGGGATTAGATTTGAAAATATGAATTTTGAGGGGACATAAAGATTTAGTTGATAGCATCTGGTAGAGAACTGGTATTCAAAAAAGTACAAAGAACTCTTAAAATTCAACAGTAGAAAACAAACAACCCAATTAAAAGATAGACAAAATATCTGAACAGATACTTTACCAAAGAGGATATAAAGATGGCAAATAAACATAAAATAGGCTAACATCTCATTAGGGAATTGCAAACAAAAACAATGAGATATTATTACATACTTATTACAATGGCTAAAATACAAGAGACTAACAACACTAAATGCTGGTGAAGATATGGAGCGACAGGAACTCTCATTAATTACTGGTGAAAATGGCACAGACACACTGGAAGAGAGTTTAGCAGTTTCTTACAAAACTAAATATGTTCTTACCATATGACCCAGCACTTCTAGGTATTTACCCAAATGAGTTGAAAACTTCTATCTATACAAAAACCTGCACACAAATGTTTATAGCAGCTTTATTCATGATTGCCAAAAACTTGAAGCAACCAACATGTCCTTTAACATATGAATGGATAAATGTGGTACACCTAGACAATGGAATATTATTCAGCACTAAAAAGAAGTAAGTTATCAAGTCATGAAAAGACACAGAGGAACCTGTTGCTAAGTGAATGAAGTCAGAAAAGGTTACACATTGTTTGACTACAACTACATAATATTCTGGGAAAGGCAAAACTATACATACAGTGAACAAGATCAGTGGTTGCTAGGAGTTTGGAGAGGGGAGAGAGAAGGAAATAAATGAATAGATGGGGCAGAGGTAATTCTTAGAGCAGTGAAAATATTCTGTATAACACTGTAATGGTGGATACGTGACTACGCATTTGTCAAAACACATAAAACTGTACAACTTAAAAAGTGAACTCTAATGTAAACTATAGGCTTTATTAATAATAATGTGGTGATTTTTGTCCATCAACTATAACTAATGTACCACACTAATGCAAGCTGTTAATGATAGTGGAAACTAGAGGAGTGGGTGGTAATATAGAAATTCTATTGTACTTTTGCTCAATTTTCCTGTACACCTAAAACTACTTTAAAAATAAAGTCTACCAATTTTTAAAAAAAAGCAGTAGAAGAACAGAAAAGAAGTGAAAATATTCAGGCTTTACTCAAGAGCTAAACAATAAAAAGGGAGTCCTGTAGCTAAGAGTGGCAGGATGGTGGGTTCAGCCTGCTGGAGATTTAGAGAACAGGTGTGCTCTAGACGGAGGCTCAGAGGCAGCAGAACCAGATGTTAGAAGGAGCAACCTGGAGGATGGACACAAGAGTTTCAAAGGAGTATGGAGTAACACCCTGGGATGGCAGTTTTCAAACCTGTCTGCCTACTAGAATTACTGGGGGAACTTTTAACAGTCCTAAAATCTAGGCTGCACCCCAAACCAGGCAGTTGGGATTTCTGGGCATGAGACCCAAACATTAATGCATTTTAAAGGTCTCCATGTGATTCTAATGCACAAGTTTGAAACCCACTGACTGAGGGGTTTGCTTTCCATGTGTTGACTCAACTGAGGTGATAATATTCACTCAGTGGATCCAGTTGAGCAGTGAGGTGGATACACCTAGGATGCAAGGTTAGTGGGCAGGTAAGAATAATACTTACCTATTTAATGTAAGGAATACATAATTACAAACAAAACTATATAATATTTTCTTACCTATCTGGGGTTCCCCATTGTTTTTTAGGCTTAGAAAGATCGTGCATTCTCTTCCTGGAAAAAACACTAATAAATACCAGCTGATTAATTCAAAGAGAACACTTATAAATATGGTTATATCAGATGACTTCTACTCAAACAAACCGCATGTGAGGGGGAAAAAAAAACCACAATATCTAGAAACAAGTATACAGGACACATGGACAAAAACTAGGAGGGGGTAGAAATGGGAAGGAGGTGGGGAGGGCTGGGGGTGGACTGGGATGGGAGTAAAAGACAGAAAACTGTACTTGAACAGTTAAAATTAAATTAAATTAAAAAATAAAATAAAATAAAAATAAATAAATAAATGAATAAATACCTATTTTCTCAAAAAAAAAAACAACAACACCATATCTTATTTGATGTGATTTGAAGAATTCTAAAGAGCTTAAAGTATTCAAAAATATTGTAGACCCAAAATTCTCACTTCTATATATAGTCAGAAAGATCCAAGATGGTGGAGGAATAAGTAGAAGCTACACTAATCTCCTCCCAGTTTCAATCTAGAATTACAACTAAATTGTAGAGAAATCATCTGGAATAACCAACCGAATGACAGCTGGGAGAAGTCTTATAACCGTGGAAAGACAGACAGAATAAAGCACTTTACCACAGCGTGACAGGTATGAAGTGCAGAGGAGACGTGAGAGGGCTGGTGGGCTCTCATGGGCGGCAGCTGAAGTTCCAGAGGGATAGTTCAGTGGCTCGGGGGTTCCCCCTGAGAAGTGTGGGGTCTAAACCCCAAGCTGGATTCCCCAGCCTGCATCACCAGAGCCAGAAAGGAACCCAGATAACATCCAGCTGTGAAAATTGGCAGGGTTTCTGTCTGCCAGAGAGAGAGGACTGGAGACACAGAGAGCCTCTTAAAGGGCCAATGCACAAATTTCATTTGCAACCATTTACCCTAGCTCTGGCAGAGCTGGGGTGGGGGCTGGGGAAGTGGTGGACAGAGTGAGAGAATTTTTTTAGTTTCTTTTAAACCTAATACTATACGCTTCTCGTCTCTTACTCCATTCTACCTTATTCCCTCCCTTTTTTATTTATAATGTAAGTTTTACTTTCTTTCTCTCTTCACCTTGTCTCTATTCTCTAATCTTATTGCTCCTACCCTTACCCTCTCAAAATATTTTTTCTTTCAGTTATTCATCTCATATTCATTTTTACTTTCTTATATAATAACTTTAATCTCTGTATACCTTTATTAATATTGGCTCATTTGCTGTTGATAGTGTGATTGTGGGTGGGGTTATTTTTGCAGGTGTGAGTTTGTTTCCTGGGCTGTTTGGTTTTGTTCTGGCAGCACCTGTACAATGGCATACATGACATGGTGGGCAGAGTGACTCTGTCAGCCAGCTGGAGGGAAGGACCCAGAATGACCCAGCAACAACCAAAACCCAATTACAACTAGAGAGCCCATGTAAATGGCATAAAGCCTGTCCTATCAAGTTCAAGAGATCAAGGAGCATGCACCACTGAATCCCACAGGTCTTCTACCACAGAAGGTCAGTCACATCATGAAGACAGGAAGTCAAAGCAGATCAATCTAAGAAGTGGAAACAAACAAGAAGAGTAACCTAAAATGGGGAGACAAAGGAACAAACCCCAATTGAAAGAAAAGGAGGAGTCCCCAGAAGAGTGCTAAAGGAAGGAAACAAGCAAACTATCAGACATTCCACTCAAAATAAGGGTTATAAGGATGCTCAATAAGCTCAGTGAGAACTACAAAGAACTAAAGGAAAACTATAAGGAACTTACTGTGAACTCCATCAGCATGAAAGAGGGCCCATAAACTATCAATAAGAGCCAGGAGGAAATGAAAAATACAATATCTGAAATGAAGAACACAGTAGAAGGAATTAAAAACAGGCTAGATGAATCAGAAGATCAAATCAGTAAGCTGGAGGAAGGTAGAAAACAAGTCCCAGACGGAGTCACAAAACAAAACAAAAGACTCAAAAAGAACAAAGAGTGTTTAAGGGAGCTGCAGGACAACATGAAACATAATAATATCCATACAAAAGGGATACCAGAAGGAGAAGAAGAGGATCAAGAGATAGAAAACCTGTTTGAAAGAGTAATGACAGAAAGCTTCCCTAACTTGATGAGAGAAAAAGTCACACAAGCCCAGGAAGCACAGAGGGTCCCAATCAAGATGAACCCAAAGAGGCCCACTCCAGCACATCATTATTAAAATGGCAAAATTCAAAGACAAAGAGAGACTTTTGGGAGAGACTCTCCCAAAGAAGGAAGAAGCAGCTAACAACATGCAAGGGAGCCCCAATAAGACTATCAGCTGATTACTCAACAGAAACACTACACATCAGAAAGGAATGGCAAGAAGCATTCCAAGTAATGAAAAGCAAAAGCCTGAAACCAAGGCTACTCCACTCAGCAAGGCTCTCATTTAAAATGGAAGGCAAAATAAGGCATTTCCCAAACCAAAAAAAAAAAATTCTAAAAGAATACATCTCCACCAAATCAGCATTGAAAGAGATGCTAAAGGTAAAAGGGGGAAAAATGGCAATGAATAAGTACCTACCAATAATAACCTTAAATGTAAATGGATTAAATGCTCCAGTCAAAAGACATAGGGTAGCCCTGGCTGGTATAGCTCGGTGGATTGAGCACAGCCTGCAAACCAAAGGGTCGCCAGTTCAATTCCCCATCAGGGCACATGTCTGTGTTGCAGGCCAGGTCCCCAGTGGGGGCCACATGAGAGGCAACCACACATTGATGTTTCTGTCCCTCTCTTTCTCCTTCCCTTTCCCTCTCTCTAAAAATAAAATCTTAAAAAAAAGACATAGGGTAGCGGAATGGATAAGAAAACATGACCCATGAATATGCTGCTACAAGAGACCCAACTCAGAACAAAAAAATTTACACAGACTGAAAATGAAGGGTTGGGAAAGAAATATTCCAAGCAAATGGACATGAAAAACAAGTTGGAGTAGCAATACTGATATCAATACTGATGTTTTATATTTTCAGTATTGATGTTTTGAAAATAGATTTCAAAACAAAGGCCATAAAAAGAGACAAGGAAGGACATTCATAATACTTAAGGGAATAAACCATCAAGAAGAGGGATAATATAATAAGAACCCCCAAGACTGCAATCTACAAAAGTGGGCCACCCACTCTGAAGATGAAGCTAAAATGTTTCAATCAGATTATCTATTTCCATATCACTCTCTGTATGTCACCTACATTGTCCCTCAGCCTTTAGTAATGACTTTTTTTCCCCTTAACAAATTGCCTTAGCTATGTTAGGAAAGTAATCCAAGTAAGCATTCCGCGCACACAACCACACAGCCAGACCACAGTATTAACAATGGGACACTTCACCTGATGCCAGTGTGATGGTGGCAGCAATCAGTCTTGGGAACAAGGAGCATTTGATACGACAATTATTTTCACCTAAGAGATTATTATTCCAGTACTAACACTGGGGTTCTGGGATTTATTATTTTAAAAGGAAATGTCATTTTCTTATCCCTGGGAAAGTTACTTAATTCTCTGAGCTTTAGTTCACTTGTTCAATAAGAGAACTTACTATGTACCAAGCAGTGATCTAGGGCTGAGGGTGCCTTGGTGAATAAAACAGTCAAAAGTCCTTACCCTCATGTAAGGACAGAAAGACAGTAAATGAAATAAAGTAAATATTGGAAGTAAAGTAAACAAAGTATATTGGATGTGAATAAGAGCTATTAAGAAAGCAAGTAAATGAGATATAAGGAGTATGTGGTGGGGAGAAGGTTAGAATTTTAAGTAGGGTGATCAAAGAAGGTATTATTGATCAGGCTCTATTTGAACTATGACTAGATACACAAAATTTCCAGGGGAAGAGCAGTGCATGCCAACAGCAATGGCAAGCACAAAGGCCCTGGGGCAGAGGCATGCCCATATGTTTGAAAAATAACAGGAGGCAAATGTAGTTAACCTCATCAATAAATGAAAATAACCATATCCATCTCAAAGAGCTGTGTGTCCAGCACATTATAACCACAGAGTAGGTACTTGTTAATGTCCCTTCCTTTTTCCTTTTCCTCCCCAGCAGCAGGTAGTATGATAGTTTGGTTAAAATAGATAGCTTGTTTAAAATAGTTTGTGTCTTATATAGGAAAATCCTGGAACTATCAGTAAACAGGTAAAGTGATACATTAAGATTGTTTTAGTGCTTGAGGAGGTTGCTAGCTAAAATACAGGTTTGAAGGTAGTAAGAATAATATTCCAACTCCACACCCTCCTCCCCCCACTGCATACTCTGGACTCTTCTAACTCCCCCCTTTCCAATTGCAACTAATCTATTTGCATTTTTTTTTCCCTCAGGACTCTGCTTTGTAATTCAAGATTTCTCAGCCTAAAATTCCCAAATCTTTGTGGGATCTATGAAGATAATAATGGGAGCTCACAATCTTTAGAACCTTTCAAAAAGTCAAATGGAATTCCACACCATCAACAGTCAGGCTTGTAGAGACTACACAAAATACCAAATTTGTTTCTGAAGTATATCATCTCCATACGTTACCTCATGCTGACAGAAGACTGATTAATACTTATAGGTGCCCTTAATTAAAAAAAATTAACTAGTGTAGTTTGTTTTGTAAAGAACAACAAAAAATCTTTCAAAACTTGAGATTGTACTAATGGGTAGAGACAATCAAAAGATTATTTGGTGGTAAAACATTTGGAGATCTGCTATGCAATTGACATAATGCAATCCCCAAGTCATGTTTGTTAGTATCTAGGAACAGTGAAGATACTGTCAATTGCAGGAAAAACAAAATCCTCATTCAATAGAGGAATGGTTTTACCATGCAGGTACCTCATGGGCTCTTCTGGGATAGCCTGAGCCAACTTTCCGGGGAGGTGACTAGGTACAGGAGAAAGAAACTCACAGTTACAGACAAACCATCTTATTACATAAAAATCTTTTCAAGCAAATTAGACTCTGGCTTACATCATCACCTCCAACTCAAGATTTCCTTCATCACCTTTTCTTTACCCGCTAAATAATGTTTTTTATTGTATCATTTTATACAAGACCATCGAAAGTTTCCTAGTTTCCAATAGATATTTAAATTGGATTGTTATTTCAGTAAGAAATAATCTCACTAACATTTGTTAATTCTGTGTGGAGATCTAACACCTCTCCTTTTCATTCACCTATTGTGCATTATGTCACCATAGCTACATCTCCAGCCTGCATCGCTTCATGTTAACACAGGCTTCCCTTGCCTGTAGTACTGCATTACCTCACAGTGTCTAGCCATGATCCTGTGCAGAAATAAAAGAATGTGGCTGAAAGATTTCAACTCTCAAAGGAACATATTTTAAAAATAAGGATTACATTGCTGTCATGTGTTTTCACTGATAATTATTATTCTCCTATAGTTTGCCAATAGCTAAGAAAGTTTTTAAAATCTTTACCTTGGGTGTAAAGCAATAAATATACATTTATATAGCAATAATTATGGAAACGATTTCACATCTGAATTGATGGGATAGTTCAAATAATTCTTTCATTCAAGATGGTGTTTTACACTGAACTATTTTGTTTATGGTCAGAAAATATTTCATAACAATAAGGCACAGCACAATTCTTCAACAAAAAGTTTTCAGAGAATGGGGACAGAGATAGGTAATGGAGATAGCACAATTTTGTCATAGAATCAAACCAAATCAACCAAACAAAAGCAAGAATCAGTATAATAATTACAATTAAAATAATAACAAAGATATTTAAAAGACACTCTCTAAACAATATTAAAAAAAAAAGTATAGCTGGTGTGGCTCAGTGGATTGAGTGCCAGCCCGCAAACCACAGGTTGCCACGTCAATCAGGGCACATGCCTGGGTTGCAGGCCAGGTCCTCAGCTGGGGATGTGGGAGAGGCAACCCACATTGATGTTTCTCCCCTTCTGTTTCTCTCTCCCTTCCTCTATCTAGAAATAAATAAATGAAATCTTTAAAAAATATAAAAATAGTTTTAAAAATGTAAAAAGTATAAACACTTACTAGGTAAACCATGGCTCTATTTAGCCACAGGAGAGTTTGCTCACTCAGCATATGTTTATTTTAGTGATGTGGTATTTTAAATGGATACTTCTCTGAATTTCATTTTCTCAAAAATTTAGTTGATTATATCTGCACTATTGACGTCTCAGGATTCTTGTAAGAAAAAAATTTTTTTAACTGCCAAGCATTACATGAAAATAAAGTAGCAGTTCGATCTGACCTTTAACAGGATCCTAAACAATAAAACAAACAAACAAGCAAAATATAACCAAAGACACTGAAATAGAGAATAGACTGACAGTGACCAGAGGGGAGAGGGGAGGGAATTTCAGGGGAATTTCAGGGGAATTTCAGGGGAAAAGGGGAAGGGTTTACAGGAACAAGTACAAAGGACACAAGGATAAAAACTAGAGGGGGTGGAAATGGGAGGGAGGTGGGGAGGGATGGGAAGGTGGGCTGGGATGGGAGTAAAGAACAGAAAACTGCACTTGAACAACGATTAAAATAAAGTTTTTTAAAATTTTATTTACAGCATAAATAAATAAATAAATAAATAAATAAAGTAGCAGTTTAACTGCCTGAAAGGAGAAAAAAAAAATTGAAAGCAAAATACATAGAAAATGCAAAATAAGTCTAAATAATAACAATATATGTAAATGTTAAAAATAACAATAAATATGAATGGTTTAACCCACTTATAAAAAGAGTGGATAAAAATTAAATCTGATTATTTATTTCTCATCTATATGAACCACTGATAAGAATGCTTGGTATTTGGTATTTCTCTTTAATGATTCTATTCTGAAACCTCTTGTAACCATATCTTAGCCAAACCAAGAGTAAACATCTATTTTTCAGAAGATACCTATTTTGTACATTGTATGTGCATACATGTACACAGAAACATGTTTTTTATAAAGGGCATTTTCTTGAAATGTCACTAATCATTGTACTTGAATTAGAGTCGGGGGGAGTGGAAAACATTGACATGGAGCTTCACAAAATCTATGATATGGGGTCATCAATGCAGAATCCCAAGTCCCATGAAGGTTCATACCTACTATGTGACACCTAGTATTTAGCAAATAAGTAAAACACTGCAAACAGAAGAGTTTTCATGCATCTCCTCTCCCCTTCTCATTTCGTAATCTCTATCTTTCTCTACTTTCTTTTTCCCAAAGGAACTGTCATTAGAAAAGGGCTTTATGATGAAGGGAAAGCACAGGAACCTTCTCAAAAACCCCTAGTTAGGCTTTCGCATCAAATGCCCCCAATTGAATTTGTTCCATTCAGCTAGGCTGGTCCACTGAAGTCTGGAAGAATGGTACTGTAACTATGGCCTTACCATTTCCTTAAAAACTCACGGGGAACAGCATCTGCAAAAATGAAAAGCAAATGTAAAAATTAGCTTCAATAAGAACCAAAGATATATAGGGATAGTATCACAAATCAATAGCGAAAGGAGCTAGGGAAAAAGAACTATAGGGGAATGGCCAAGTTAAATGTGACACATTACCGAAATAAACCACAGTTCATAAGCCACCATTGAGGAGTTAAATATTTTTCTAAGTTGAATTAAAGCAAAAATAATAGAATATCTACCCAATCACTGGATTTTAATCTGAGTTGAAGGTGACAAAAGACATAGAAGAGCCCTGGCTGTCGTGGCCCAGTGGCACATGCCTGAGTTGCAGGTCAGGTCCTGGGGACGTGCAAGAGGCAACCAATTGATGTTTCTCTCACACATTAAAGTTTCTCTCACTCTCTTTCTCCCTCCCCTCCCCCATCTCTGAAAATAAATAAATGAAATATTTTTTTAAAAGACAGAGGAAAAATAATAATACATTAAAATATTTAAAAGTTAAAACTTTTGTATGTCAAAAATTAAAACTTGAAGAGTTTAAGAATTTGGAGAAATATTTGGCAGTAAGTATGATAATTGCTAACAGTCTTAATATTTGAAGAATATAAAAGTATAGATAAATAAGAAAAACACTAAGGTAGATGTTAACAGTTAAATGGACAAAGGATAGAATTGAATTCATGTATAAAGACATATAAAGGGCTAATAAACATAAAGTTCAAATTTGCTTGTAATCAAAACTGCAAATAAAAATGAGGTATTTTTTAAACTATCAAACTAGCAAAAAAAATTTTTTTGCAAAGATAATTATGCTGAAAGGATAACAAGAGGCAAGTACTCTTGGTACTGCAGATGAAAATTTAAATTAGTACACTTCATAAAAAATAACTTGGCAGAATGAGTCAGCAGTGCTTACATTCCTTAATCCAATTCTACTTCTAGAAATGTACCCTAAAGAAATAATGCCAAGTGTGGACAAAGATTTATGTGCGAAATTGTTCATTGCAGTATCTTTAACAGTGGAAAACTGGATACGCCTGAAATGTCTCAAACAGAGTAAGTGGTTGGTTAAGCAAATTAAAACTCACATTTAGAAGGGGTTTTTTAATGTAGGAAAATGTACAAAATCATGCAGGCCAAGTTGTGCAAATGCTTATTCTAATGGGCCTCATAATGATAGATTTTTCTCCATCATTTCTGTTTGGGAGTTTTTCGTTACATCTGAAATAACATTTTCTACCCTCTGGAATGTTTTGGGTAAAGGAGAGTGGGTGTGCTCTGGCATCAAACAGACATTGCTCAACCCCTAGTTTTGTTAGTTACTCAGCTAACTAAAAATCTTGGGCAAATTACTTAACTTCTCTGAGACTCAGTTTCCCCTTCTCAGATAGAAGGATCATAAGTAGGTCTGTGTAAAGGTCTGTGGCATATATGAAAAGCACCTTGCATAACGTAGATGCACATAGATGAATGGCAGTTAGAATTATTAGTTACAACCTCATTGTACCAAAGGAGATGTAGGAAGCACTCCCAATATCAATTGGGCTTCTATGTGCAACTTGGTGTCAGCTGCTGAGAGAATAAAAATGAGTAAGATGACTCTCTCCTCTCAAGGAATTTACAGCCTGGTAAGAGATAGGCTATGAACTTCTTTTTAAAAGCACATGTAATTTTTGAAATTGGATATTTTCTATTATTCTACTTTTTAAGGCTAAACTGGCTCAGACCTCAGGAAAAGATGAGAGTTGCCTATGAAAATGCCCCCGTGTCCAGCCTGGCTGACATCCATGAAAGTCGCACACTTGTTCTGTGGGTTTTCATGTGTTATTCCCACATGTGGCTGCAGCTCTATCTGTACAGGTCAGAGAGTCAGGATAACACTGAATCAATCCTTAAACATCCTCTGCAAATACTGCTGACATGAACCACTGATGCTCCTTCCTCTTGCCCTTCCATGCTACCATTTCTCCCACAGGTTGGACTTTCCCTGTGTATTTCAGAGACACACTTTTTATGTTATCTCAGCTCTTAAGTGGCTACTGTTAGCTAATGTTCCAAGAAAAGCAGTGGCACAATGACTTCCATATTTGTCTATACATTAGAATCACCTGGAGGATCTTTTAAAAATTGCCGGTCTCAGGCTAAACCCTAAGCCCATTAAATCTGACCTCTGAGGGTGTGATGGGCACCAGTAATTTTTGAAGGAGACAAGTTTGAGGACTACTTCAATACTGTTTAGTGGCTAGGACACGAGCTCTGGAATCAGACTGCCTAGAACCAAATCCTGGCTCTGACCTCCGATCTCACAAGTTCACCTAAGCTCTCTGTACCTTACTTTCCTCATGTTCTTACCTCAAAAGGCTGTTGTGTGAAAGTTAAACAAGGTAATACATGTAAAGCACTCTGCCTAGTGCCCAACACATAGTACACACACAATAACTGGTAGCTTTCATTAATCCTAAAAATTCAATAATTAAGATTTTGTTTAAATTCCTATGAATTAAAAAAAAGTGTTTAACTGTTAAGTATAAGTAACTGGGGCTTCCAGGCAAGGTGGAGGCATAGGTAGACACGCTTCACCTCCTCATGCAACCACAGAAAGAATTACAACCAGATCTCAAAACAACACCCAGAACTGTCAGAAAATTGAGCTTTATGGAAGTCCAGTGTCCAAGGATTTAAAGAGGCCGCATTCATCCAGATGGGTGGGAGGTGGAATCAAGGAGGTAGGAGGAGGGGTGGTGTGGTATGGACTAGAGGCAGCCATGTCCAAGCCCATGGTCCCATGTTCCTGTGTGGTGGATAAAAATCAGGAGGGTTTACTCCAGGAGTGAGTGATCCCAGCCCCAGGCCAGCCCACACAGCCCAGGGTTCCAGCACCAGGGAGATAAACCCCCAGTACCTCTGGCTCTAAAAACCAGTGAGGGTTGGGCGGTGGAAGAAACTGTTGGATTTTCGCAGCTTAAAGGGTCTGCATAGACTTAGAACACATGCAAACCCCAGGGCAGCAGCTGGAGGGTCACCAAGTGCATACAGAAAGTCGGTGATGTGACTAGAAATGGGGCAAGTGCCAGGAGGCACTCTGACCTCTGGAGGCCAGACCACAGCATTGTCCCCTCTCTCTGGCCTGCCCCCAACAAGTGGAGCTGCGGAGCAGTGAAGTGGGTTGCCAAGAACTGGCAATTACCTAAGGCTCCATCTCACACAATTTACAGGTGCCTTTGCTACACAGGCCACACTACTAAGACAGGGAGTAGAAGCAGCTCTACCCAATACTCGGAAACTAACATAGGGAGATTGCTGAATTGAGGAGGCAAGGAAATACAGCCCAAATGAAAGAATAGAACAAAACCCTAGAAAAAGAAATAAATGAAATGGAGATAGTCAACCTGTCAGATGCAGAGTTTAAAACTGGTAATAAGGATGCTCAGATAACTCATTGAGTACAGCAAAAAAAAAAAAATGAAGAAATTAAGGTTATACAAAGTGACATAAAGAAAAATGTACAGGGAACCAACAGTGAAGGGAAGGAAGCCAGGATTCAAACCAATGATTTGGAACAAAAGGAAGAGACAAGAATTCAAAACAAAAACAAAAGCAAGGAGAGGCCTAGGAACCTCTGGGACAACTTTAAATATACCAACATCTGAATCATAAGGATGCCAGAAGGAGAAGAGAAAGAGCAAAAAATTGAAAACTTATTTGAAAAAATAATTAAAGAAAACTTTCCTATTTGGCAAAAGAAATAGTCATACAAGTCCAGGAAGCACAGAGAGTCCCAAACAAGTTGGACTCATAGAGGACCACACCAAGACACATCATATTTAAAATGCCAAATGTTAAAGATAAAGATAGAAAGTTAAAAGCAGCAGGGGAAAAACAAATAGTTATCTATGAAGGAGTTCCTATAAGACTATTAGCTGATTTCTCAAAAGAAACTTTGTAGGCAAGAAGGGACTGGTAAGAAGTATTCAAAGTGATGAAAAGTAAGGATCTACAACCCAGATTACTCTATCCAGCAAAGCTATCATTTAGAATAGAAGGGCAGATAAAATGCTTCCCAGATAAGGTCAAGTGAAAGGAGTTCATCACCACCCAGCCCTTATTATATGAAATGTTAAAGGGACTATTTAAGAAAAAGATAAAAATATGAACAGTAAAATGACAACAAACTCACAGCTATTAACAACTGAACCTAAAACAAAAACAAAAACTAAGCAAATGACTAGAACAGGAACAGAATCACAGAAATGGAGATCATGTGGATGGTTATCAGTGGGGGAGTGGGACAGGGAGAGAGGGGGGAAAAGGTACTGGGAATAAGTAGCATAAATGGTAGGTAGAAAATAGAGAGGGGGAGGCTAAGAATAGTATGGGAAATGTAGAAGCCAAAGAACTTATATGTATGACCCATGAACATGAGCCAAAGAGGGGGAGGAATGTAGGTGGGAGGGAATGTGCAGGGCAGAGGGGAATGAAGGGGAGAAAATGGGACAACTGTAATAGCATAATCAATAAAATATATTTTTAAAAAAGTTTAAGTAATTGTTAAGGACCCATTTACTACTAAGGGTCCTAACTATGAAAATAAGTATTAGTGAGATGACAACCTCCTTGTGAACATGTATTCACATGTAGTTTTATTGGTTTCTATATGTATTTATACCTTCCCCTCATTTCTAAAAAGATTTGAGGTTGCTTACTACATAAACACATATACTACAATAGAATATTATCTGTTTCAAGATGAAAAATTCAAAGACAGAAGTAGACAAATAGTAGAAGGAGAAGAGAAAGGAAAATAAAATTAAACAAAGAAAGAATGTGCAACGAAGCCCAGTATAGTTGCAACTGAGCATTCTATCATTGGAAGCAAAACACACCAACTTTTTCTAATATTGAAATCTGAGAGAAATTTCTCTTGTGAAGTCTCATTGGTATCATACAGGCATAAAATAATCAGGCAATAATAGAAAATGAAAGAATTTTATTTTCTTATTTTTCCCTTCTTCAAACTTGACTCTTCATGAAACCATGAAAGTGTTTCATGAAACAAAATTAAATTAAAAATATAAGAATGTTTCCAGTAAAATGCCACAAGTGACTGAATATAAGGCAAAATTCTTCCAAGTATTATTCCTCAGAAAAGATGAGGTTACCTTATATGCAATTTCTTACAAGAAACCCATCTTATGAAGCACTTTCCCAATTAACTGATTTCCCCACAAAGTACTGGTCAAGGGGAATGTGTTTGCCTGAAACAACTTCAGTAAATGCTAGAATGGAAAATGTACAGAGATGATATTGTTCTGATATTAGAGAAAAGCTTTCAGGCTTTTCATTATTAAGCTCTTAGCTGAGGTTTTGCCATAGATGGCCTGTATTATGTTGAGGTACTTTCCTTCTATACCCATTCTACTGAGTGTTTTCACCGCAAGTGGATGTTGTATCTAATCAAATGCCTTTTCTGCATCTATTGATAAAATCATATGATTTGTATCCTTTATTTTTAATACGGTGTATTGCCTTGATCAATTTGTGTATGTTGAACCACCCTCGTGCCCCTGAATGAACCCCACTTGATCATGATGTATTGTTTTTAATGAACTGTTATATTCGATTTGCTAGTATTTTGTTTAGGATTTTTGCATCTGTGCTCATCAGAGATATTGGACTGTAGTTTTGGTTTTTTGTGTGTGTTCTATCATGCCTTTTAAATGTTTGTGTTTTATTCGATAAGCACATAAACCACATTGCTCCTGTCGCCCTCTGGAGTGAGCGAGCGGGATGACCGGGTCTGTGCTCCACACCGTGTGACGGAGAGGGCTGCCATCTGCTGGGAGAACGCTCCCTCAGACAAAGCCCCATCCGCTCCTGGCGGTGCTGAGGCTCTCCCACCCTGGGAGACCCACGTGTAAAAATAAAGCATTTTGTAACATGATATGAGTGAATACAAAGTATAACTATTCTCCACCTTGCCCTCTACCCTGCCTCCTAAGGAGCCCACACTTGAGCTGCTCAGCCTCTAGTCCTTGTGCCGAATGGGGTACCAGTAATCTACAAGCAGCTCTCAGAACAGATCTAAAGGGCACAGAGGAGTGAGGAACTGAGGCAAGCTGGAGCTTGAGAGACACAGAAAGGTATTGGGGGGAGTTGCTGTGATAGTGACAGGGACTTGGGAAAAAAAACGCCTCTAGAACATTTTAGCAGGTTTTGCTTTGTTAGGTGGTATAATTTCTTCGAGAATACTTCAGTAAGACCTACGGTACCTTTCAAGGCTTTTTGAAGTAAAATTCATGTTTGTTTTAGGTGTACTGTTGTTTTGAAGACTGGTCTTAAAGTAGTCCAGTTCTCTGTTGGGTGTGACTATGTAAACAAACATTGGGATGCTCTATGATGTGGTATATTAAGCTGTATGGTCTGACAGTGCTATTCATTCTTCCTTGCCCCTCTCCTAGGTAGGCACAGCTCCCTACACTGTGCTCCCACTGCTGAAGCTCAGGGTCAGGTGGACAAGAAATGCAAGAATATAGGGAAGGATTTTGCTTGAGGATGAGAAGGCAGCAGCACTAAGAGGGCAAGCCCTTCCTTCTTACTAAACAACAACAAAAACGTGTACTTCTACACAAACTAAAGCTCTAAAATATCACATCCCCAAGTAACTATTAAGGTACTCTCACACCCCTAAGTCTGCACTTTTGTGACTGTTTTATAATTTCAAATCTAATTTTCATGTTCATTCACCTGGGTGAAGGTGGCACTGGGTAGGCACTAGGAACTGGATTTATAAGTCACACCATACACCAGGATAAATTCCAAATGGATCGAAGATCTAAATGTTTTTTTAAAAGTTGATAAAAGAAAACACATAGGTGAATTCCTTTGTAACTTAAGAGTAGAAAAAGGCCTTTCTAATGATGATTCAATACAGAACCATGAAAGAAATGACTGATAAATTTTACTATAAAATGTTTTTAGGGAAAAACAAAATAAAAATAAGCAAAGACAAGCAGAACACCAGCAAAGTGAAAAAAATGTCATACATACCCCAGACAAAGGGCTAATCTCCCTGGATACAAGGAGAAAACCTAGCAAGTGAAGGAAAGTAGGTGAAGGACATGGAAAAATATATACCAAAAATGACACTTAATAACACTCATAAAATAAGATAATTACAAATGAAAACTTAATTGACATACTACTTGTTTTTCATGTATTAGATTTTCAAAAAGCCAAAAGTTTGAGCACACACTCCAGTGGTGAGGCTACAGAGAAATAAAAGCTTCCATTGCTAGTGGGCATCCCAAGTGAATCAACTCCCATATACAAAGTTGTTTGTTTTTCTGTTCTCATCATCTGTTTTTCAAGTGCAGACAAGAATTGGCAAGAATGATAGAGGGAGAGGCAAGGGACTTCAGGATATTTGCAAGGGAGTGATTCTATTGGTGTAACGTGGACTGCAAAGTGAGTGGGGAGGGACAGAAAGACATAAGGTAGTGACATGTAATGAAAGGCTAATAACATCAGTTAGTTAGAACTCCCTTTGAGGCTGAAGAATTGATGGAGGGGATACGAGGAAGAGTGAGTGAGGTGGAAAGATAGGGCATGGTTAGAGATTAGAGTGCTTAAAATAGAGATTTTAGAAGTGGTACAACAGTTGACATTATCAAAGACTAGGCCAGTCCATGCCCAAGATGGAGTGAAGTACAAGATCACTCGAAGAGAGCAGGTCAAAGAACTGAGAGGCCAAGTGGATCGTCCATATGGACATTGAAATTTCTGTACATGCTGACAGGTTTGGCGATGGAGAGAAAGGCTGTAAACTAGAATAATTTCAATGGAGTGGAGGGGAAAGAAGCCTAACTAGGTGGGTAGAGGAGGGAATGATAGATGATAAAAGGTAATCAGTGATTAGATGACTCTTCTAACAACTTTTTCAGTGAAGGGACAGAAAAATAGTGGAAGCAGGAGGGGTCTGAAAAAGACACAGGGATCAAGGGTTAGTTCAAGATGGAAGGTCCTGGAGAATGTATACTCATGGGACTGACTGATTAGAAAGGGAGAAATTGATGCCATAGGAAAGAGAAGAAATAACTGTGGCAATTTCTTTAGGAGGCAAGAGTGAATCCATAGCAGAAGTGCAGGATATTTCTTTTCACAGAAAGAGGCACCATTCTTTCCTGCAATACGAAAAAATACAGAAGCCATGGGTGCAGATTTGGGAATAGATCAGTGTTGAGAAAGTAAGGCAGTTTGTGACCGATTGCTTCTATTTTCTCAATAAAGGGTGAGGCTGTTTGGGGTCAAAGGTGTGAGGCTGGAGGAGTGGGAATGAACTAGGTGAATAAAGTGGGCTTCCTAGGCAGTGCCACGTGACCAACTGAGATTAGTGGTCATGAACCTGAAATAAGAGCACTCAGTACGAATGTGGGATTTTATACAGCAGCTGGTTGTATAAGCAGAAGGTGGGTAGTTGGGTTTCACCAGAGTTGAGGTTTTGCTAGGAGAAGTATGGTGGTTAACCAAAAAGCCAATGTGGTGGTAGATTACTTGAGCAACTGAAATGACAGACCATAAAATCGAGGCTGATAAAGAGGAGTCAAGGAATATATAAGATTTAAAAAATAGTCAACTAAGGGATCGGAAGTCCAATGTGGACAAACACTTGTGAGTTGGGTTATCATTGAAAAGTTAGAAGTGAGCTGGTGTGGTCAGAATAAAAGATGTTCATACCCAAGTCCCATTAGCCCTGTTGTCCCCATGAACTTGGTGTGGACTGAGTATACAGTAAGCACTTAGTAAATGTATCCTTTTAATACTTGCTCAGTGAATGTTTTGTTACTACAACTTTAACAATATAATAACTAGCATTTCTTGAGTGTCACCATGAGCTGATCAAACACTGACAAAAAATATCCTACCTTCAATGATCCTCCCTTTAGCTGAGGAGAAAGATAACAATGAAATGCAAAATCTTAATATGACAGAGGCAACCCAGAGGAATGCAATAACTAACTGTAAAGAAAAATTAAGAAGGGCTTCAAAAAGAAGTGACAATGGATAATCAAAGACAGCCAGGAGGTCATCAGGTGAAGGGAGGAGAGAGTGAAGACATTCAGTTTCTCTCATTACTAGAGTCTCAATTTCCCATCAGACTCCCTTCAGGTCCCAAAAGAGGTGACTGCAAGGCAGCAGGTAAGTGACACATGAGCCATCTTCCTTTAAAACGAAGTGAGCATGCAAACCTTCACAGAAGGACACCAAGGTTTAGGTGGGACTGGTTGTTCAGTACTGTGGAGGGACCCCAACACCCACCTTTCGGAGAACACCAGGGAATCCATGGCGGGAATCTGATCACGAGAGATGGAGAGATCATCAAGGCGGAGCTGGGAAGCAGCTCAGCTTCGTGGGACTTGTGGGCCTCTCGGGGAGCTTGGGGCCTACGGGGTTTACGCCTCGCGCGGAGCTTGTGTGGTTCACGGGGCGCATTTGGCTCCTGAGGCTTGGGGGGCACATGGACTTCATAGGGATCGTAGGGCTCGTAGTGGTCGCAGGATTCACGGGGTTCATGGGGCTCCCTGGGCACACAGGATTCGTAGGATTCGTAGACTTCACAGGATTCGTAGGATTTGTTGCGTTCGTGGAGCCCCTGGAGAGCACGGGGAGCATAGGGCTTACAGTGTTTGTGGGGGTCAGAAAGTGAATATGACTTATAGCGTTTGTGGGGCTCGGAGATCTCTTTGTCCTCGTCTCGCTGGCTTTGCTCGAGGGCTTCCTCGGATACCTGGAGCTCTTCCTGCTCCTCAGGCTCGGTGGGCTCGTCGTGCAGGTTGGGGATCCTGTGTACTAAGGGCGCCTGGAGAACTTCCAAAGAAGCAGACACTTCTGTCGTATTATGCCCATCTAACAGCTCTAATGAACCCAAAAACTCTTGTCTCTCCATGAGGGTCCGGGGAGCTCCGCTGCACCAGGCACCGAGCCTAGCTGGGTCGCTGATGGCCTTGGGTGCTATGGGAGCGAGATGAGGAGCCACCCGCACCGGACCCCAGCCCACCCCTACCTAACACAGAGGCTGCTAGTCTCCATGCGTCCCCGCCCACTCCCCCGACTGTTCTCCGGTTGCCAAGGCGACGTGACTTGCTCCAGGGGCCCACAAGCCAGCTCCCCTGTGGGTCAAATGGAGCCGGAGACGCATGTCCGCGGAGAGTTGGGCCGCGCTGCTGACCAGCTGTTGGCTTGCGTGGAGGGTGAGTACTTTCATTTGCTCTCTCGGTTGCTGAGGCCCTGGTGCAGGACGTCCCAGCTTCCAGACTAGTTACCACGCCACTCAGCACAGCCAGGTCTCTGTTAGGTTCCCTGACACAGATTCTGCATAGGCTTTCGTCCTCTAATCATGCTCGGAAGGGATGCTGAGATTGACGGTCCAGGCCACCATTAGACCTCTGGATTCCTTAATGCCTTCCAAACTGGTGTTCTGACTTGGTAGACCTCCAATTATGACACTCCAAAGTGTTTACAATAAATCCCAAGCTTTGCACCACAAGGTGCCTCATGAGTGATCTAGTCCTTCCTTTCTCTCTCTCTCACTCTCTCTCTCTCTCTCAGCTACTGTGGGCTGCCCTGCTTTTCTGGCTACATTCCAGCCTTCCAGGTCCTCTCTAACATGTCCAGCAATTTCCTATTTCAGTTTCTTCCTAAACCTGGAGCCCACTTCTCCCCTTGTTCACATGCCAGCGCTTTTCTATCCTCGGGGGCTCAGCTTAAATATCCACCTACTCAGAGAGACCTTTCGGAACCCATAGTAATATTTAAAAGGTTCTACCATTATTTTCTATCTCAAATCCTTGTTTATACACAATTTTTAATTATTTTTCTGCTTTAAAAAATTTTTGTGTTTGCCTCCCCAGCCAGAATATAAACACCTTAACGACATTCTCTGTCCTGGCAGCTGGTATATATATGCCCAGTAGTGAGCACAGTGAATGACTGCAGATGCCTGTCATTTCTAGTGTGTCCCCCCCCGCCGCCAGCATCCCTTCACTTTCCTTCTAAAAGTTGAACCCCTTCTTTCTTTGGGGAAACTTCTTCCAGATGGCTTGAGGGGGCTAATGCAGCCCCCCTCCCTGGTCTGGGCAAAATGACCACAAAGATTAGTTAAAAGATGAATATGTGACCCTGGCAGAGCCCATCAGTGCCCCTCTCTGATATCTGCTGGGTGGTTGCCTTAAAAGGAGGGGGTCCATTTTATTCTGGGATCATGAGCTATGTGTGAATGCTGTAGGCTTGGTGTTGACAGCTGTCCCTTGGCGAGAGAATCTGAGAATGAAGCCAAGTAGGATTAGCAGGGCCAAGCGATGGAGAGAAAGTTTTGTTAACTCTGAACCCCTGAATCCACCCATGCCCCTGCCCAGATTCCCCAGTATGATGAGCCCCCCTCCCAAATCCCCTTTTCTCGGCACAAAAAAAATCTAACTTGAATTTCCATAATTTTTAACTAAAAGAGTTCTGACACATTTTTTTGGCACATAGTTGGTGCTCAATAAATGCTGATTAAATGAATACAAATACAGATCTACACTTAGTGTACTTACTGAACTTGTATTTTCTGAGCCTGGAAGGCTGGCAAGAGATGCCAGTTTGCGGTAAGTTCTCCAAAGTAATGAATGCCACCCCCAAGAGGTCTATGGGGAAGACCTCTTCTCTGACAGGCTCTTTGACAACACTCTGACCTGTCCTGGCTGAGGGCCATTTCCATTAGTAACCCTGGGGTATGTACCTCCCTTGGCAGCCTGAGAGCATGTCTTGAGTGCAAGTCTTTGGTTTAATCATCCCCAGCATCAAGCAGTAACTACCACATTGGCATTCAATAGCTGTCCACTGAAGGGAAAACACCAGCCACAACATTTATTGCCAAAATGCAAAATCTAAAGTCAAGACATGAGAAAATCAAGGCTAAACAAGGAAGAACAGAGATAGCACTTCCTATCTGAAAGGTTTGGGCATCATCTTTGAAATCAGCATCCAGGAACTTATGTTATAAGTTCCCACGACCGCCCTAGAAAACATGATAAAAAGATGCCTCGTAGAATCAGAGTTCGGGGATGGAAGTAGTCTGCATCTGATTTAGTTCTTTTCCAGAGTGAAGACTAGGAGACAAGATGGTTGAGGGATTTGTTCAGGGGCCGGGGCCAGTTGGCATGGCCATCCTTGCGGCAGAGGCTGAAAATCCAGGGTTCAATCTCCAGAGGCCAGATGAAAGGAGGTCTGACATTAGACACTGGAATGGCTGTTGTTACATCACACTGTTAAACATGATCTTGCAGCTCTGGCTGTGAGAAAGCTAGTGACCTTAAAGGCACACGCTCTAACATCTCCTCTCAGAGGGCAGGCCTTGTTAAGAAGGATAGAGTACTGTGGCATATTTAAAAATGGTTCTTTTTCTCCAACCCTGGAAACACAAGGGCTTTTCCCTTTGATGTTTATCATGGGGATCTGATCAAGCTCCTAGAGGTAAATCTCACAAGATTGTGGGGACCCTGGTATGCCTGGGTCACCCTGGAGTTTTTAACTCTCAGAGTGTCCATGCTAAGCCTCCAGCAATTTGTGAATTACAGCTCTGGTTACCCTACCCTGGCACTGGTCCCCGAGCATGTTTCCCATTGTGAGTCTCTGTGGTGAATTGTGGTGGTAAACTGTCCTTCTCTGCATTCCGTTGTTGGTTTCTCTACTCCCGGCAGCAGCGGTTTGCCCTGTGCTCCCATCTCTGTTATGGATCCTAGAAGGGTTGTTGATTTTTCAGACATCTTATTACTTGCTTTTAGAACAGTGGAGGTTTCCAAGCTTCTCACATACTAGACTAGAAACTGAAAGTCCCTTTTTTTAAAAAAAAAAAAATCAAGACAGTAGGCTAAAAGTTGGATTTATATGGTATGTAGGCAAACAGTTACTTCTCTTACAAAATATTTCTAGCGAAGAAAGCTTATATATAAAAGACAAGTGTCAAAAATTTCAAAAACGAATCCCAACAATGTTCCTTATCTACTATAATAGGCTCCTAAAAGAGAAGCTTTTCCACCCCAGTGGGTGTGGCTCAGAGGACTGAGCACCCGCCTGCAGACTGAAAGGTTGCTGTTTTGACACCCTGTCAGGGCACCTGGCAGGACCCGGCAGGACAGGTCCCCAGTTGGGGGTGTGTGAGAGGCAACTGGTCGATGTATCTCTCGCGCATCATTGATGTTTCTCTCCTTCTCCCTCCTTTCCCCTCTCTCTAAAAATAAGTAAATAAAATCTTTCTTTTTTAAAGAGAAGCCTTTCTTAAATTTTTCTGAAGGCTGTTAATTTATATTTTTATGAGGTTTAATAGTGATTACATTTTTTGTCATTGCAGTATCCCAATATTTCTTTCTCTACAGTGTTAAACACATTTACTTAAAGGAAAGACACTTGGATTTTTACTTGAAAAGAGAAAAATTTATTTAAATGTTTTAATATAAATATCATGTCATTGAAAAACTACAAATGGGATAAATGCTTGCTAATGTTCACTTTAATTTTGTTGCTTAAAACTCAAAATTTTGCCCTGGCTGGTGTGGCTCAGTGGATTGAGTGCTGGCCTGTGAACCAAAGGGTTACCAGTTCAATTCCCAGTCAGGACACATGCCTGGGTGGTGGGCCAGGTCCCCATTAGGGAGTACGCAAGAGGCAACCACACATTGATGTTTCTCTCCTCTTTCTCCCTCCCGTCCTCTCTCTCTAAAAATACATAAATAAAATCCTTTTAAAAATTTTAAATTTTTTTAAAAGCCTTGAAATTTCTATAAATACATTGTGTTACCAATACTTTTAAAGTTCAAAATCTAAATAAAGAAATGCTCTTAACCAATTAACATTCTCTTTGTATATATGCCATGCATTGAGAAAATAGGAAATGGCTTATTTTTTATTTGAAAGTGTAAACCTTTGGTTCCAAGCCTGCCACTCATCCCTCCCTGATGACATTTGGATTGTGAGCTGCACAGTGGGCCTGGCCTGGTCACTGCATACCTGCTGCCAGGTGTGCAATCAGGTCTTTCGCATCCTGCATGGTGGAGGGTATCTCTGAGCCATTCTCAGTCACTTGAGTCCCAAACAAGAACATCTTCCTGTCATTTCCCACTTCAGATAATGCCAAAGCTTCATGGATGTCAGTAATGTGATAGGCTGTTTTGAGATCCTTCACCAAGAATAAAAAAAGAAAAAAGAAAAAAAGTTGGTTATTTTGCATTTATTGCTCTGAAAAACTCCCCATTCATTTTAATACAGAGGACATTGAGACACCATTACTATGACCTTAGTGGTTGTTTGAACATAAAGCTTTTTATCAGAATTAAACCAGTATTCGAGTTATCATCAAAAATATATTTTTTGGAATGAAGTTAAACCAATATAATACCTTAATCAATTTTCTAAATGGTGCAGTCAACCTGCTTATAACTTTTTATATTTTCCTTTTTGTTTCCTTGGAATTACATTGAATAGGATCAGAGAAGACAGGAGACTTCCAGTGCAGATGGAGGCAGAAGTAAACACAGGCACATCCTCACACAGCCACAGCGAAAACTACAGCTAGACTACAAAACAAACATCACCCAGAATCATCAGAAAATCAAGCTGTATGGAAGTCTGACCACTAAGGTATGAAAGAAGTCACATTCAGCCCCAGCTGGTGTGGTTTAGTGGATTAAGCACTGGCCTGCAAACCAAAGAGTCACTGGTTCAATTCCCAGTCAGGGCACATGCCTGGGTTGCTGGCCAAGTCCCAAGTAGGGGGTGCATGAGCAGCAACCACACATTGATGTTTCTATCCCTCTCTTTCTCCCTCCCTCCCCCTCTCTAAAAATAAATGAATAAAATCTTAAAAAAAAAACCCAGAAGTTTTCTGGTTAGTGCCTTGGTTAAACCTGGTGTCCATAATATCTAATAATAATTTGTAGAAATTTTTTTCCAAGTAGGTTTCAGGAGAATTCTAGTGGTTGGGAGGCATCAAATTCCTTGTGCCCAGGGTATTTCCACATGACGTGGTGAGCATGGGAAGAGTAGCATGATTTTAGAGTTTGGTTTCTTCTCTCATGTCCTTTTAATAAAAACAACAAGCTACCTTGGTAGAGGGGGAAAAAGAATTATATTTAATAGGATCAATTATTTTAAATTTATCTTTAACTGAAATTTCCTTCATTCATTGGTTTTTGTCCATATCATGTTTTATTGATTATAGCATTTGCCATTGTGAGTTTTCTTTTGTGGCCATTGTTTCTACTGAACCAAAAAAAATGTGGATCAAATTTTGGGAGGGTGGTAGAGAAAGGAGCAGGGGGACACTGGATTCAGAAAATAAAGTTGTAGGAGGAGGAAGCCAAGAAAGGAGGACAGAGGGAGAGAACCAGCGCAAGACGGAGAGAGCGGAAAGGCCTAAAAGAGGGAGCCCCACACGGGGAGTCAGCACGAGGTGAGATTAAACTGAGAGAGAAAGCCTGTGCCTCTGCTGCATGGCAAGGTCAAAGCTTCGTGAGGTCAAAACATACTACTTTGCCTCTCACACATCAATAATTATTTATGCAAATGACTTCTGATAGAGGCCCCTTTTTAAATACACAGATTTCAGCAATTGTTTTCAAGTCCTTTGCAAAAGTTTTAGCATTTTCACTTTTAAACTACATTTGTAATTGGCTTTTTGTTTTTTCACAGTGTTCTCCCTAAGCTTTAGAGGATCATTTTTAAATCTCTAGAAATAATCCAACATTGTGTTATTTTTTCTTTTTCCAGTATGAACCAATCAGATTCCATCATCACTGGGAGCCCATGAGGCTTTTCCTGATGTGTTTGTTGTACTTGGTATCTGGCTGGAGTTGATCACCTCCCTGGATGTCGGTCATCCCAATACACTGTCTTTCTGACTCCTGAATTCATTTAGGCTTCGAGTCTGCAGTGACTTTTGTAACAGTGTTAATGGATCCAGCAACATGTGGATGATGTTTCAAGTTAATAAATTCACTGATGGAATTGGGGAGGAATTAAATAGGAGAAGGAGGGTGTTGGATGGGAGGAGGGTAATGATAAAAGTCGATAAGGGATAATTCTGCTATGAACTTGGGTGTACAAATACCTGTTTGAGTCCCTGCTTTCAATTTTTTTCAATTGGTGAATCATATGGAAATTGTATTTTTAATTTGTTAAGGAACTGCCATGCTGTTTTCCATAGCAGCTAGGTCATTTCACACTCCCACCAACAGTGCACAGCATTGCACTTCTCCATGTATGTTTAACATTTTTAATGTATGTGTATGAAGTACATTCAGATCTGCTCTAATTGATATAAAACAGTTTCTTTAAAGTGGCAGACACAAATACTTTGTTGAAATCGACAATCAGTAAATGCTTATTGAATTAAATCTAATTTTATTAGATTCCTGCTATGCCCAAGGCAGTTACAAGGTATTATAAGGGACAGAAAGATAAATACTAGTCTCTACTCTCAAGGTGTTTATAATCCAGTAGATCTGATAAATATAAATTGAACTGATTATACAGCATATTTTAAATATCTACTCATTAAAAGTAGGTATTTCTATTTCTTGTGTTAATGATAAAACTATGGAGTACAAATTATATTTGTACAGATTTTTACCTGTTTGTTTGCAAACACAACCAGAGGGATGAATGGGTTTGTTTCAATTAGTTGATGAAGGTATTTCTTGGCTTCAGGTAATCTGTTGTGATCTGCTGAATCCACCACAAAGATCAGCAGTATCCCCCTGGACATGTACGTTTCCCAATAGGACCGGAAAGGCTCGCTGCCACCAACTACAAAGAGGAGCAGGAAAAGAAGAAACACCAAAAACGTCACAGGCGTATCCCCCAAGGGGGAGGGAAAAGGCACATTCACATAACTTCCGAACACTAGACAGATGTGCTAATGCCACTGGGTTAGAACGTACCAGTTGAGAACCACTAGAGAGATGTGTATTTTAACTTTTGTATCTACCTAAAATTATCTAAATAGACAATTTTATATTGTCCAATAGATTGAACTTGCTGGTCATGTTCAAATTTTATGTGCCTTTACAAATTTTTTCTCCTGGATCCTGTTAATAATTGACAAAGATGTGTTGAAATCCCTCACTCCAGTTGTAGATCTGTCCATTTCTCCCCTAGTTGGGTCTGTCCTTCCTTCCTCCCTTCCTTCTTCCTTTTCACTTTTTATATTTTGAAGGTATTTTGGGGGGCTATCTATTTGGTCAAAATAATTATTTATTCTATAACTTCTGGGAAAGCTGAAACCTCTATTCCTAATAATGTTTTTTCTTAAAGATTTACTTTTAGGTTTACCAATTTCTCTGCTCACCATTTTCTCTTCTTAACTGGAGAGAAGCAAAATTAAAAAGCTGATTGCAGTAATCTAAATAGGTAATAGAGGTTCAGATTCAAATAGGGATAGTGGGAAAGGACATAACTGACGAATTCAAGATTTGTTTCAGAGGTAGAAAAATTGTTTTTCTGGAGGTGGGGATATAGAAGGAGGAAACAAGGTGACTCCTGGTTTTCCATCTTGGGAAACTTGATGGGTACTGACCAGTGGGTTATAAGGAAAGGAACTGATATGGAGATAAATCAAGCATTTTGTTTTGTCCATGTTAGGTCCAAGAGGCCAATTAGACAACCAGGTGGAGAAGTCAGGTGACATTTGAGTATGTTTGGGCTGGACAGATAAATTTGGGAGTAGCACACAGATGGTACTTCATGCCAAGAGGATGGATGAAATCCTCCAAGGAAAGAGTGTACAGAGAAGACAGGAGGATCTGGTGAATTTGGGGGGAACAGCAATATTTAGGGTGTGGTGTCTCCAGAATTCCTATAGAGTAGAGGCTTCTGGACTGCCTTCTGCTTACAAGATCGGGTTTGGGGTTTTTCTGTGAGTGCAGCTGCAGAGAAGGAAGATTCCTTTATTTACTTAGAATGCATATTTATTTGGGGTAGTAAGGGAGGAGGGACGCTGTTATAGAAAGGAATATAAAGCCTTCTTCTCAACTCCCTTTATTGCCACCACTGTAAAAAGGAGAAAATCAAAAGAAAATAAAGTGATTTTCCCCACAGTACACCGTAGTATAAACTACACATGCTTTCTAAATATCTAGGAAAGTCTGACCCACTGTTACTTTTTGCAAGGACCCAGTGTTGATCATGTTAAGTCTAGCTCAAGGTCTGACAAAATGAGGCTATCCTGTAACTAATGAGGAAGAGGGCTTACTCTCCAGGAAGTCCATCTGGCTGTCTTCAGTGCTGATACACACTTCATTGAAACCTTGGGTGGGTGCCTCGCTGTGCTGGACTCTGTTTAAAGCTAGGGAGTGGAGAACACTGGTCTTTCCTGCTCCATCCAGGCCCAGCACTAGGATATGATTATTTTTCTCCTGTGAAACAAAAGATAAATCAATAAACCTATGCTCTCAGGGTCATGTGTTCCTGGTCCTTGGCAGTGTGCCCGCCTGTGGTAAGACCCAGTAATACTTGTGGGATTGTAAACCAGAATAAAACTTCACAAAACATTTAATTGGCCTAAAACAAGCTGTACCAAACAACTCATATCTTATTAGTTATGTGATGTTAATTGCACATTCCTTCTCCATCCCTCAGCTCCTGGCCAGTCTATCAAATATATATGATATATATCATGCATATATGCCTATATATACATATATCTATAGTTTATATATCTAGATATCTATATATCCAGATATATAGATATAGATACAGATGTATGTAGAAAGAGATCTACAGGTATATCTATATAGATATATATACCTATATCTTTATCTAGATGTATAGATATAGATATATACATATTTTATTTATATATATATCAAGATTTTTGAGAGATGCCAGAGATCACAGGGCCACTGGGCAATTTTCAGACTTCAATTTGCTTCCTGAGTGCATGTCCATTGGAGATTGCACCAGAATTCATTGTGTTGTCTGGGATCTTGGTACCTCCATGGTGCTTTCAGTATTGACTACGCCATTCAGTATGTAAGCATCTAACGTCTCATTAATCAGTCTTGTCTTCCCAACTAGATCATTAGATTAAAATGCAAGATTCCCCTTTTATACTTTTAAATATAAGTGTCACAGTTAAATGAAAAGGCTAAGATTATAGAAATGTTTAAACCAGTTCCAATCACAAATGAGCATTTATTTTTTAATTTTAAAAATATTTTATTTATTTATTTTTAGAGGGGAAGGGAGGGAGGAAGAGAAGGAGAGAACCATCAATGTGTGGTTGCCTCTCGTATGCCTCCCACCGAGGACCTGGCCCAAAACCCAGGCATGTGCCCTGACTGAGAATTGAACCGGCAACCCTTTGGTTTGCAGCCTGCGCTCAGTCCACTGAGCCACACCAACCAGGGTCTATCTTATTTTATTTTTATTATTTACACTATTATAAATGTCCCCCATTACCGCCCCCCCAACTTTGCCCACCTCCACCCAGACCCTGCCATCCCACTCCCCAGGTTTTCATCACACTGTTGTTTGTCTCCATGGGTCATGTGTATATGTTCTTTGGCTATTCTCATCACCTTCTTTTATCCAGTCCCCACCCCCAACCCCTTCCCCCTGAGATCTGTTGGTCTGGTCCATGCATCTATGCCTCTGGTTTTCTTTTGTTTGTCAGTTTATTCTGTTCAGTAGATTCCACATATAAGTGAGATCTTGTGGTATCTGTCTTTCTCTGATTGGCTTATCTCACTTTATGTGATCATTTCCAGGCAAACGAACATTTATTTTAAAGTCTGATGTTAAAACCTTTTGAAATAGATGTAAACTTTAGATAGAAACATTCCACCAACATACCAGCCTTAGGAATTTTTATGACAAATGAGAAACAATAAGGGCAGGCTGGTATGAAGAAAGAAATAGAAAGTTTAGGGTGCACAGAAGGGTGGCTTTTAGGATATAAACTTCAATGTAAATAGTAATAAACGAGCAATAATACAGCCAGACTGCTCACAGAAAGTAAACTGTTTTTCCAAATAGCCTACTGAAGGGGTTTCTCATGCACAAAACAGACTGGGTTTAAAAATAACAATAATCTGCCCTGGCTGGCATAGCTCAGTGGATTGAGCTCGGGCTGTGAACCAAAGTGTCACAGGTTCGATTCCCAGTCAGGGTACATGCCTGGGTTGTAGGCCATGACCCCCAGCAAACACACATTGATGTTTCTCTCTCTCTCTCTCTCTCTCTCTCTCTCTCTCTCTCTCTCTCTATCTCTATCTCTATCTCCCTTCCTTTCCTCTCTAAAAATAAATAAATAAAATCTTTTTAAAAACCCTGCTCTTAAAAAAATAACAATAATCTTATACATTTCTTCTTGAACACTAAATGTTGACATGAGATTTAGACCAGATTTCTGGCTAAAAAAAAAGGGGGGGGATCCAAATAGCATTAGAATGCCTATCCCACCTCTTTTTTTAAAAATAAGACCTATGTGCAAGTAAAATGTTTTAAGGGCTGATCCAATAGATACTTGTGAGGAGAGCATGCTTTATGAAGACTATCTAGAGAATAAAATAATTTGAAAAAGTATATGTTTTTAGAGTGAATTCTTGATCGCTCTTAAAGCAAATGGTATTTCCATAAATGTTTCCTATCTCTATCCCAACCTCCTTCCCCAGTGCCTCCCACCTACATCTAAATGTTAGTTACAGTGTCATCCTGGGCTGGTAAGGAGGAGTGACTTGGTGTACAAAGGAGACGTTGAAGCAATACTGTAAAGCAATGCTGGCACCAAGAAATGGCTGCAGGGTGTGGACTGTGTCTCCCTCATTATTGCTACCAATGGCCCTACTCAGGCTACCCCAATATCTCATCAATTCCAGATAAAACTTTTTTTCACATTTTAATGTGTCTAAAATGAGATTTTACCATGCATGGTATGTCTTACTTTCATTGTAAAGATTTTTTTTTCTTCTTTTCTTTCTTAGTGGTATCCAAAATAATGGCCTCTTAGATCCTGTGAAATATTGTGAGTACAAACAGTTCCTGCCCTGGCCAGTGTGACTCAGTCGGTTGGGCATGTCCCACAGAGCAAAGGGTCATGGGTTTGGTTCCTGGTTGGGCACATGTCTGGGTTGTGGGTTCAGTCCCCATTTGGGGTGCCTATGAGAGGCAACCGATTGTACAAGAGGCAACTGTTTCTGTCACATTGATATTTCTCTCCCTCCCTTTCTCCTTCTCTTCCCCTTCTCTAAAAATAAATAAAATCTTAAACAAAAAAACACTTCCTTACTCCCTTTCCAACCACAATGCTCACCCTAAGTTCACCTATCTAGAAATTTGGCAGGCACCAACGCTTCACATTTTGCTTACTTTTTAGTCTAAAATACATGCTTGCTTCATGTCCATAATCTCTTAAGGAAATCCGGGATTACTGTAAAGCAAGTGTTCAGACATAAACTATGATTCCAAACACAACTGTTCCTTGTCAAAAATTATTCCTTTAACTATATGTGGATCCATGTAGTCTGTGTTTTTCCAGAGGTCAAATCTACCTGAATAATTCACATTGTTTAGAACCAGAAAGTAGCTCTGAGCCCAGGAACTCCAGGAGCACAGGGCCCACTAAGCTGATCCAAACAATGCCTGATTTTTCTTTCCTCCCCCAACCCAACTCTAATTTTTAAATTGTGTTAAAATACACATAACAAAATTTATCATCTTAACCATTTCTAAGTGTACAGTTCGGTGGTATGAAACCCATTCATTCATAATGTTGTGCGAACATCACCACTATCCCTCTCCAGAACTCTTTTCATCTTGTAAAACAAACTCTGTACCCATTAAACACTAACTCTTTCCTACCTTTCTCCAGGCACTGGCAACCACCATTCTACTCTGTCTCTACGATTTTGCTTACTCTAGGTATCTCATATAAATGGACTCATAGGTATTTGTCTTTTTGTGACTACAATGCCTGGTCTGCAAGACCTCAGTTAAACCTTTGGACCCTTCTGGACGCTGGTGGTCTGAAAACAATGGAAGCAGTAACCACGGTGCCTACAGAAAAGGTCCAGACAACTCAAAAACACATTCGGCACACATTCAGGAACGCTGCACCTCCCACCAAAGAACTTATTTTCAACAGAAAGGGCTCGGATCGAGAGCCTGCGTGCAGCGAGGGCTCAGGGCGGGTTTCTGTGTTGTGGGCGGTCTTCGACCTCGCTCTGAGTGCTGGACAGAGATGGGGCTGGAGACGGGCTACAACCTGCGCCTCTTCTTCAACACTAGATCTGAGGGGGGTTAGGGGTGAAGGGCAGGCGGCCAGAGAGAAGGGTCCGGCAATCAATCTGTCATTGGAAGCTTGACACGTTTCCTTCCAGCCACAGATAAAAAGTCCTGGAAAGAGACCTAACTCCCTCCGGTAGGGGCCTGGGACGTAACAGAGCTGGCACTCACGCCTGAAGTCCCGACAATGGCCTTGGGCAGAGGGTCCGAGGCACCAGTCTCTTACCGGCAGTTCCAGCAGGGGCTTTGCTAAGGCGCTGTTGTTCTTCTCTTTCTCTTCTTTTCCCTTAAATTGTTCCTTCTCTCTCTCCTTTTCCTCTTCCTTCCCTTTCTCATTCCCCTTCTCCACCTCCTTCCCTTTCTCATTCCCCTTCTCCACCTCCTTCCTTTTGTCTTTTTCCTCCTTTCCTCTTCCCCGAATTTTCTCTCTTTCTGGTTCCTTTCCCTTCTCTTTCTTTTTCACTTTTCCCCTCTCCATCTTCACAGCTCTGTTTCCTTCCCTCCTGCGCGCCCTGCACGCTGGAGCAGCCGCCCTGCGTCCCGGCAGGAGTGGTCCCTGCGTGGGACCCAGGCAGAGACGTAGATCCACGTGGCGCAGACCTCACTCACAGTCACTGTGGCTGAGGCCAGTCCTAGGGCGTGTAGGCTGCCACCGGGCATCTCCTGCTAGCGCACTGGGGCTGCGGGCGGCACATTCGCCAAACCTGAGGGCCGAAGGCGGAGTGACCAGGGTTAGGCAGGGGTGCTAGAGGAAGGGTCGAGCCCAGCCAAAGGGAACCTTGAAAGCCCAGAGAGGCACATCGTCAGTGCAGGCAAGTGTCTCCAGGCGCCACTTAGGAACGTATGGCTCGCTTTCCTTGTGCTAGGAAGGGTAGCTCAGAAAGGACTTCCACGCAAGACCAGATCTAAGCGTCTTTCCTCTCCCCAATCATTCCCACACCCACCCAAGCTCACCCGTTTTCCCACTGGGGAAACCCCGAAGGACCCCCGCCCCCGCCCCCGCCCCAGTTTCCCCGTTAGTAATCACAAGCTCTGCAAGTGAAGTTGGGTACCTCCCGGCCCTCCAGCCAGTGTCAGCTAGTAGTGTCTCCAGACTGTCCAGGATGCTTAGGAGAAAACAGTAAAGGAACCTCAATGGTACCCTTATTTTAAATTCTTATAGTTCACTTTAAAAATTTCTCAATTAGACACCAGTTCCACTCCCAGTCTGGGCACATGCCTGGTTGCAGGCCAGATACCCAGTGAGGGGGCACAAGAGGCAACCACACAGTGATGTTTCTCTCCCTCTTCCCCTCTAAAAATAAATCTTTAAAATTTGTTCTCAATTAAATTAGTACTCTGCCAGGATCATGGCTACTAGTAATGCAGGGTATTAAAAACAAAAAAAAAAAACTAAAGAAAAATCATTTGCTGCCCCCAATGATCTAATATACAAATCAGGAAACCCACAGGGCTTTTCACAGGTTATGTAACATTGCTTAAACTGACAAGTATGTGGATGGCTTTTTTTATTTTGTTAAATTGTACCCTAGTATATTAACAAACAAAACTACCTTACTGCAATAAACTGACTTTTCTCCATCAGATCTGTTTCAAATAGGCCTGTACAGAACCCTGGCAAGACCCAGAGAGACTAAGTGATGCAACGGTTTTTAAGGTTAGCAATTCCCAAGAAGTAAGAAAATGTTATGCTGAAAATGTTATGTTGAAAATGTTATGCTTAGTAACTTAATAAAATGTTTACTCAATTTATTTATATACATGCATCAACACGATGAATTTTCAGTGATGTTAAACCTGGGCTTTCTCAATCCTTTAGATTAGTTTTATGGCTTTGACAGGAGGGGCTGAAGATTATTTTAGATACTTACGTTTAAAAAATTCTGATATATTAACCAGGAATTCCCCATAAAATGTCAACACCCAAAACACCTTAATCCACACTCACTGCTAGAATCTTTTATTTTAAAATGTGCCACAGTGAATGGATGTATCCATATGGTTTTATAAAGGTAGACACAAACATATATACAAAGTGTATATATCACTGATTAAAGACCTACCCAAAAGAAAAAATAATTACTAGAAAGTTAATGTAGATGTTTACACTTCATCTGACAATGACTTATGTGAAGTGAGGTTTCAGGTGCTTATTTATGACTGGTAATAACAAAGACTGGCAATTATAATGACTTGAGAACTGTGAATTTCACTTTGTGCCTTATGTCAAAATTCTCAATGATAATTTTCACCAAAATTCTGTAGCTTGGTGAAACCTAAAAATAATTGTTTCACCACAGAAATTTAATGGTATCCTAAATAACAAATTTACTAACAATTATTCTTGTAATGGGGTATATATTCAGGAGAAATGAGTTATCTGTCACTTTTACCAAAGACTGTTCTCAGAGAGCTCAAAAAAGTTATGCCATAATAAATCATTCATATATGAGGGTCTCGTTTAGATGCCACTGCAGATTCTGCTTACGTCAAACAGAAGGGCAGCACCACAATCCTTACTCTTGTAAAGGAGGATAGCCTTTTAAAAACTCTTTGAAGAAGTCAGTAGATATGTTCAGAGTCAAACACAGCAGCACTTTATTGAGAAGGATGGAGTAATGTAAAAAGGAAGTAACTCAGGTCTAAATTCAATGCTATCCTGGGCAACATAAAACGATTACTCACCAGGGTGGGCATCCCAGTGTGTCTGTCTTATAGCTGTTCATCAGGAAAGTGGCGTGTAAGCCAGGGAAGCCCAGAGCAACAGTGACAGCGCAGACTGACTGCACAATACTCCATTGCTTTGGGAAGGGTAATGAATAGCCACACCCTTAACTAGAAAGAGGAGCCATTTGAGTATTTATTAATGAGCTAACCAGTTCTGTGAGGTTTTAATACTGCCTGCTACTGAACTCTGGTACTGATTTCCTCTCTACATAGGAAGTCAATGCTCATGCTTTCAATAGGGTCCATTAAATCTGACTGAGACAGTCTACACCCACCTGACCTCAGGACACTGAGTCTATGAGTCAAATTCTGACAACAATGATATGTTTTCCTTGAGTTCTTTATAGTACTAAGTCAGCATAATGCTATCATAATCTGAAAATGATATGGAGGCATCAAAGGGTCCTAATTTACATATATTTATATGTATATGGATATATGTATATACATATACACATTTTTCATTACTCTACACACATACGTGTGTGTGTGTGTGTGTGTGTGTGTGTGTGTGTGTGTGTGTACAGTATCGCATGACAGAGAATTTGTGGTAAAAATTAATGAAGACATTTAGTTTTCCTGTGGCCAATCATGTAATGAAAAACACCAGTGTATTAATTAACAAAGTCCCTTTTCTATCACACAATATTTCTAAGCAGATATTTGGAATGCTCAGTAGATTTCACTTTCAGTCTTCCAAGATCTCCTAAGACGTAATTTAAAGTGGGATTTAACAGAACAAGTATCTTCAGACTCTAGTTAAATAAAACAGCATAAGTAATTTCTGTTTATATCCTAGGAAACATTAGATAACATGTCTTGTCTGTCAAACTGAGAAAACCATCACCAGATCAGCACATAAAGAAACAGATATTAAGATGGGTAAATGACCGATTATTTTGAGTCTTCATCATCTGTACAAAGCTAGGTGGTACAAGCAGGCCAAGTCTGACCAGGCAGAGTTTGAGGAAGGTCTTTTCCTTTTTGATGCACAGGAAAATAATTTTATGAAAATGTGGGGATGAGAGAGGGAGCAGCTCTGTGCTTCTCACTGTGTTATCTTTATTATGTTCCTAGTGTCACTAAGACTAGTTTAGAAATAGCCTGCAACAAGAATGTTCTAATCACCAGCCACCTTTTCCACCTTTCTTCTTTTTCTGTTGTTGTTTCTTTTTTGTTGCTGGAGCCCCTGCAGGTTTCTGGTGTCTTGGGGGTATGATGTTACTCGTAGATGTAGATGCTGTTGCTGCACTGCCAGGTCTTGGGGAGGTGGGTGGGCTGCTCACAGTTTTACTGGCATCCCTGAAACCATCAGATCAGGAAATTATTGGTCATTCATATATTCAACAAAGAAAAAGACTATAGAAATGTACACATAAGGATTTCATTTCCACCCTTAACAATCTCCCACTCACATTCTATTTATTTCAAGGTGGGTGTACGCCAATCCCTATCCATTTTACTTTTGAATAAAATTTTTACTGCTTTATAAATAAAAGATAATATACGGTACATGCCAAGTCTTAGAAAGCTTAGAAAATAAAAATTTTAATGATTTATAATTCTACCATGTACAAATTACTTAATTAGTAACATTATAATACTTCTTTCTAGTCATAGTATTTATTTATATCTTTATCTAGATATTTAATTCGTTGAATAACTCGGTGTATTTAGTTTCCTTTGGAAGGTACTGGAATCCTATTATTTATGATATAATCCTACAATCCAGGAACTTACAATACAACCAAACCAGAAATACCACACTTTCTTTCCTTTATAATAGCATATTGCACAACATCAAAGATATGTGACTGTATTTACCACACTTAAAATACATTGAAAAAAGTCTCACTAATGACCCTGAGTCAGTATCAGAAAGATCCAACCTATGCTCTGAGTGACCATGGGAAGCAATGACTTACAGTTCCGATGAAGTTCCTGCAGTTGCTCCCTGGGTCCCCTTTCCAATCTGATCCTTCTTTTTACCCTTCTTTCTTCCCCGGTAGTAAGACCGTTCACGCATTGGTAGCCACCTTTCTGGATCTGGGGTAACTTTTGGGTCATAATTCTTAGGCAGTTTTCCTGTGTAACAATTGATGAAGAAATGAGAAATCTGCCCTGGCTGGTGTAGCTCAGTAGATTGAGCGCGGGCTGTGAACCATAGGGTTGCCGGTTCGATTCCCAGTCTAGGGCACATGCCTGGGTTGCGAGCCAGGTCCCTAGTGGGGGGCCACGTGAGAGGCAACCACACATTTCTCTCCTTCTCCTTCCCCCGCCGCTAAATAAATAAATAATTTTTTTTTTTTTAAGAGAGAAATCTGTCCGAAATGTTTTCAAGATAGTTTTTTTAAACAATATGTCCAAGACTGGGAATAAATAACATTAAAACTAAAATAAGTTTATCTAAGAAAGTTTCAGTTGTATAATCTAGCAGGAGAAAAGGCCTTATTTCTAAGCATGACACAATATCCAGGAGCCATAAAGGAAAAGATTTCACAGATGTATCTATATAAAAAAGTTAAATTTCATTTGGTAAAAGATATATTATTAAGAGAAATAATAAAACAAAAAAATGCACATTATATAAAAGGGTGCACTAATATTCTTAATATAAAACAAGTTCTTGGTAATCAGGAGGTAAATCACACAAAGAAAAATGGGCATAGCTGTAATTAGGGTAAGCCAAGAGAAAGAAAAGTTGTTAAGCATGTGAAAAGATGGTCAACCTCACTTAATAAAAGTGAAAAA